CACTAAATCAACGAAATAAGTGTCTCTGCTCGTTAAGGTTGTCCTTATATTGAGTATATTATTCGTATGTAAATATATTTATGTGTAAGTATGCTCATATGGACTTTACAGTGTGCATTATATATGAAAAAATGCTTTTTTTAGTTTTTGGTAAGGAATTGATTTCGTTTCTAATTTTATGTGAGAAATCATTAGAAACGCATACGCGCTGTTGGATTAGAAAAATATTTTATTATAACTAAAAACGGATTAAACGTTAAAAGCAATGCAGCATTATTTTAATTTAAAATATATTTCCTTACATATGATAGTTCTTGTTAGTTCAACAGGGCGTATACGGAACCTCTCTAGTTTTCCACATTAACTTATAAACAAGTTTTATTTGAATAAATTTGAATGTAGCTTTTTCAGCCATTATTTTCAAGGAATACATAATTTCACATAAGTAACAACTTTTACTAACCAAGCTCCAATATTTACAAGTCTTCATGTAAAGGGTGTTTTTTTTTAGATATGCCCTTTTCAAGAAGGCTTTATTTCATATAATTTTCTGTTTTGATTACGAATTCAGCTTTATTCTAAATCGAAGGGTTCGCCATCATATTTTGAAAATGATTTTTGGCAAGTAACCGCCGAGGTTGCTGCAGTTGCTGGTCATAACCGGGTTGCCTTGGCCACCTTTTGCAGCGATTGTGACCGTATATTGGCAATAGCCCGCCGAATACTCTCTTCCAAGGCGGCAATCGTCGTGAGGCTTCTCTGAAGGCTAGGCTACATGCCGACGCTCGCTAAAAGTTTCCTTCAATGAATTTCTTGTTTTGTTGGGTGTATAGCATGTGAGGTAGTGACTGTTTAGTGCGTTTTTCTGCGAAATTGAGGAAAAAGCTGTCATTACTGCTGTAATGTCGATCGTTATCGTGCCATTGTCAGACATGATCGGTTTCCGAATATTAATGAGCATTAGGTAAGTGGATGATGTGTGAGCAGGTCAAGCCAGCCCCTCCAACCATTTGAATGATGTGGATTGCCCCCATTAGCTGCTGCAATGTTAAGGCGTTCTAATAAGAGCAAAATCAAGTCTTATTTTAAAAAATTTAAAAATTCACAGTTTTTGTGGCTCACCCTTTGTTTATTCATAGAGTTGCTACATATTTCTGTAACGCTTTGGCTTAATTACATCTCTTCATGCACATTCACAATTTCGATATTTATTTATGTCACTCATACGCCCCGTGCTTTCATCTCAACTGCTCCATTTTCTTATCTTTTTAGTTCGTGAGTATGTATGTTGCCTATGTCATTTCTTCTTCACATTCTCTCTGTGGATGTTGTGCACGTACACGTACACGTACATATGCATATGTAATCTCTTCACATTTGAATGAACATCATAAAATCGATAGTTGCAAATAAACAATGACCACCGAACCCATTGTATGAGCACATATATATATATATACGTATGTACATGCATATGACACGCTTTGGTCACATTGAATTTCAACTAAATCAATATGGTTATAGTGGACATACTCCGCTCTACATAGAAGATCACGTGCATATAAACGAGCGTGTATTTCAGAGCATCAGACACACTGGTGGCTATATATTTAGCACAAGAAGCAAGTAAGGGTATTTGAAAAAACTATGTTGCTAAATTTGTATACACACCTTATGACCGCGATTAGATTAGCAAAAGGACAGTGGAATACAAATGGTGGTTTTAATGCAATATTCTAGAAGCTTAAAAGAAATGTGGGTCGGGTTTTCCTTTGAACCTTTTAGAGAGGGGCTCAAAATATAAGAATTTTTTAATATATAATTGGCGCCTTGTAACCGCTTTAGCGACTTCCGGCCAAGCTTCTACTTCAATTTGTGGCCACCGCGTCTTTATGTTTTTCCAACAACTGAATCTACAGTTTATAATAGGTGACCTCCAAATGGTCGTTGGTTTTTCATGAGGAACTTTATTTCATATCAAAAATACACTCGGAGGGGTTGAGACGAGTGGCGATCGCAATTAGAAAACTTAACTTAATCTTCTAATTACATTAATTTTCTGTAAGTTTTTGGATGTTAGTACCACACCGGGACTTGAGCCTTTCGAATGGCAGTATGCAAAGCTAACCACTCGGCTTTCCCGTCTGTCAAGAATTTTTTCAATAGGGGAGCTAAAATTATGGGTTGTCCCTGATTTAATTCAACAAATAAAAATTAGCCGAATCAGAGTGCAATTCGTTCCTTCATTTCGCTGTTTGACGCCTCTAAGGGAGTGAATGTCTACCTCTACCTCTGCTTACACCATCGCTATTGCATCAATTACTTTCAGAGTTGGAGTACTGTCGACATCGTCCACGCTTTTGCTTGTCTTACCTACTCAGGCACTTGTTCGCTAGTTTGATTCTGCGTTAGATTTCCAGGCTGACATTGTTGTTGGTATTAAATCTGGTCTCTAGATAGACGAAAATGGAAGTTGTGACTGTCAACATTGACGTGGGAGCCAAGTTGCGAGTGCGATGACTGTTTATTTGATGTCAAGTAATATTTCGTCTTTTGCTCGTTTCATTATCAAGTCTAGAGAATGCGAAAAAAATGGCACGGTTTACAGTTAACAGCAAGACTTTATGATATAAATATCATCGGCATACGCCAGCAGTTGTATACTCTTGTATAAGACTTGGCCCGTCTAATTATCTCTGCAGCTGCTGTTCTTTTCTCCAGCATCAAAACCAAACGCTAAGGAGTCACCCTCTTTGGTATTGCCCAGCGTCAGTGTTCACAACCGTATAAATTTAGCAGGGATACATCGGTGTCTGCTTTAAAATCGATGAAAGGGTATGGATATCGATTCTCTTCCAACACGTGGTTTTCCAAGATTTGGCGCATGGTGAAAGTCTGGCTATTGATGGATTTTCTATGTCGAAAGCCAGACTGATCAGGGTCCAATCGGTTGGTGTATGATGGGCGCTTCATCAGGCCGTTCATTCGTCATTCAGGATGCTATCAATTTGGTACATAACTCCTGTTATCCGTTATACGTAGAGACCATGATTTATGATATTCTCACATTTCCATTATTCAATAATATTGGTGTTGAAAATTTGCCAAGAAACAACCACATGGGTGACCCTTGCGTTAGTTGACCCCGCTATCAGATCTACTGATTAATTATTATAGTGTATGTACGTGTATGTATATATTTGCATTTATACTATATATTAATGTGTATACAGCTCATGCTTGAAAATACTTAACACCAAGACTAACGAGTTGATGACTTTTTGATGATATAACCGTACATTGATTACCGGAGCTCGTATATTTCACGCCCGGTCACCGACCAACGACGTTCACCGTTCAACGCTGGCAAGAACACCATGGCGCCACCAACGTAATTAATTACTACAAAAGATTTGCATTGCCCATACCAGCCAACGTCAACTGTGACGGATTCCAACATAACGGTAATTCAAATATACAATATATACTTGTATATGTACGAGTATAGGTACATATTGCAATTTGTAAATCTGTACGTGTGCTCTTGCAAAGGAAAATGGGCAAGTAAGGAGAGGCGCCAATGGATAATTTTTTGTTTACAGTTTATTGTCACAATGACGCCCATTTGACCGTGCAAAAAGTGTCAATATATAAGTAGTGTGTACACAGGTTGGTTTGTTCAATTATGTGTTTTTGTAAGAGACGTAGGGCGTTTTGCACGTGGCTTGTAGTGGGTCTTACCCTATCTGGAGGAAGCAAATTTGTTGTCACATAATTAAAAGCATTTCAACTTTGATTCTACAAAATGGATATAGGCATTTTTATATATATGTATTCGTGCATGTATATGTATTTTTGTGGAAAGGTGGGCTATGGAAAAAATATTAGCCCACAGATTGACAACAACATGCCTAAAAGTTGTTATGATTTTTACGTTTTTTTTTTTATTTATATAAAATGATCAGGTGGTACAGTTTAAAAGCTTGTCCTAACAGTTTCTCATAAATAGAAAATGTGTGCCATTGCCGATATTGATAGCTATCGACTTATCGTTTCTTTTTTTTTGTAATAATTGACATTTTCTACTTGTTTAAAATATGAAAAAATTTAATTTCCACAACAACATGTGGGCAAATTTTCTAAAACTTTTCCAAAATTTGGTTTTAGTGATCGGATCCTATACGAGAAATGGGATTACACTAGATGGAGTTAGAAAAATTATGTTTTTTTTTACTAAAGAATATAATGAGAGAAGTGTTGATCGCCCAACTCAATGGCGTTTAAGCACATGTCAAATGTGGACACCAACAAATAGAAAATACACTATCCGCTATCGTTGCGGTAATTTGCATATAAAATATACTCCACTGCATTTTCGAAAATGTCTATTAAATAATGGCAATCTTTGTGTCTTTCCGCCATGCGCACACTGTTTTCATTATCCAAGAGCTAAAGATTACATAAAAAAACAGTTTGGTACTATTTGAAAAAGGCTGGAAGCTCGATATATTGGTATCACATGAGTTGCGGAGAAAAAACCTCATGGCACGAATTTCATTTTTTTCATTTTGGAGCATCGAAAGGAAGCAATTGCCCAGAAGTGCCCAGCTTTGGCCAACAGGAGAGGAATAGTGCTTCTTCAAGGCGACACCAGAAGTTCTGAGAACATTTGTTCCCATATATGGCGAATGGTTCGGCTGGTGAAGAATTGGCCTCAAGAGAAGTCTGTGCAATTAGATTTCCCCAATTTTTCGCCAGAAGCGACAAGTCTTTCTATGAGAGAGACACAATTATATAACCTTAAATTGTCAAAAAGTTATCAAGCAAAATGGTACATACACGTATCTGACATAAATCGGCTATTTCCATCTATGGTAAATAAAGCCTTCAACTCAATGCAGAAACAATAGATTACTTTTAATTAGTATTAATAAATTATATGAGCTTGTATTACTTGTACCACTGAATTTAAAATGTTTATTTCTTTTTATTCCAAACAGATTCGTTCTTCATTTGCGCTTGTCAACTACATACAACAGAGGTGGCGGTAATGCGTATAAATTTGCATAAATTATGTTAAGCAATAAATTCGAAAGTAATAAAAATTATTTAAAAAAATATTTATATATATTTGCAAGTGTAGGCAGAAACTGATAAATGATACAAAACAACAACAACAACAACAAATATTTAGGTGCTGTGCTCTATACAAACATTCATAATAAATCCCTATATAAATATGTATGCATAATTGTTATGATTACTACATATGAACAGAATATTATTAAGTAAAATAAAGAGAAATTAACTTATTGTTGTAAATATTTTCAATTGAAAAGTTTGCTCATAAGTAGCAACAAATCGAATTCTTCCAATACACTAATAATAATAATAAAAAAAACGCGTAAATTTTTAAATTAAAAAACTTTATTAAACCGCCATTTCCACATACTTTAACAATTGAATGTAATTAAAAATGCAGTAGCATGTATGGAAACTGGTAAAAAGTTTTAGACCTTCACGCTTTCCGAAAAATTTAAATTAAAAAAAAAAAACAAAAAAAAATAATTAATTAACATATAAAGGCAACATACTTAAAAACATACGTACATTTATGTATAAGTGAATGCAAGCATTTGCAACTATAATAAATTATATAATCCTAAAATATTTATTGAATAGTAAACGAAACTGCAATCACTTAAAATATAAAACAAAAAAAACAAAAAAACATTTTTAATATTTCTTAGCTTATAATAAACGCTAGAGTGAATAGTTTCTTGATTGAAGTAGATATTTCAAAGAAATCAGCTGAAACTAATGCTCTTTAACAGTGTTGTGAATTACGTATTAAAAAAAATCAGATATTTAATAGATTTTAAATTAAATTAAATTACAACGCAATTAATAAATGTTTTTAAATCTAACGTATAAGAAATACAAATAATTGCGGCACATAACCCATTAAGCATTTCAATAACGAGAGAGAAAGAGATACATACATAAATACAAAATACCAATATACGCAATTTATATGAATACTTAAAATTAGTAAATAAAAAAATATAGTTAAAATTAGTAGAAACTTCATCGAGCTTCAGGAAATTAACAGCAAATCGCACAATAGCGCTGATTATAAACAATAAAAAAGTAGATACATCTTTAAAAGAAATTATAAAAATACTAAAAATAGTAAATCAAAAACACAACAGCAACAAATCCAAAAAATAGACCAACTAATATCGCAAACAATTCCAGCGAAACTAAAAACACAAACCGAAACACACCGCTTACAATTATTTCCTTATAGTATATATCCTCAACCTTAAACCTTGTCGTCAGTCGCAGAAAGCCTTTCACGCAACTTACTAAAGAACTTCAGCAAATATCCTTACAGCAACCAGTAAACCAACACACACGCGGGTATTCAAGTGTTTTCACACACATGTACACGTATGCATAAGTATTTGTATTTTGGCCGTTATCCAAATAGGCTTAAAACTCTTCTTTTAAATAACAACAACAACATCACCACTTTGCCCTTCGAATTTTAAAGGTGCACACTAACACACATGCATGCATACATTCACACTGGTACACCTTAACAATATTCAACTGAAAAGCAAGCAGCGATATACGAACGACCTTCGCGTGATAAAAACTACGCTCGCTTGCTCTCTGCTTTGAAGTTCGACATCGTCAACGCCTTAATAAACGGTACTATCGGAATTCCGGCGAGGCAACAGCAAGTATCGTGATAAGTGTTTTACAAAAATACGAAAGACTACAAGGTAAAGACGAAATAACAACGCTGCCGTTTAGGAGTAGCGTTGGCTGCCTGGCATTTGGAAGTCGTAATGTAACCGTCATGAGTGTATACAAGGTTAGCGAAAATTACAAATATATGTTTAAACCTATGTATATATGTGCCCTATATCAATTACTTTTATAACACTTTTGCTTTTAACCCATTTGAGAATTTGAATTCAGCTCGGCATGTGACCCAAACTCAACAACTTCCATTGCCTGTGGCTAAATGTAAATCTTAAGCAACCTTGAACTTTACTTCAGCGCGGCAGTGAAGAAGTTTTGGGCAAAATATTTTCTGCCATCCACTCAGGGCTCGCATTTTATAATTCAATGTCCTATTTGTAATATTCGAAACCATTTGACATTAGTGTTTAGAGAGAGATATGCCAATCATATTCAATGTATCCTTTGTAAGCACTGAAGCGATTTTATGCCGAGCTCGTCCTCCAATTTTTGATTTTCATCTTAATGTTGGAAATGAAGTGATTTACAGTTTATTATAAGCCGCCTCCGAACGGTAAATGGATTGGAGAAATACACTTACAGTGTTTGGCATTTCTTGTCACTATATAAATTAATTTTTCATGATTTTGGATTTCGGTCGGACCAGCACTCGACTCGTTTACACGCTTATAGCTGAGGTAATTCAGTAAGCCATTCAATCCATTTCTTCAGTGTTCGAAGCCAATTGGAAATACCGAGTGTATGCAGATCCTTCTGCACCTTGTCTTTCCAATGGACCACAGGCCTTCTTCTTCTTTTACTTCCATTAGTGGGTACTTCAACGAAAACTTTCAAAGCTGGGATATGCTTTTCCGGACCATATGTCCTAAACAGTCGATGTCACATTATATCTCGTAGAGCTTATCTTTACAACGGCCATTGCCAACATCTTTCACTAGAAAACACCTAAAGTCAACTCATCCCAAGGTGTCATGGTTCATGCGTCCGAGCCACCGAACCATGTAACCATGTAAATTTAGTCTTTGTTCGTTGAGAGAGCACTTACTTTTACAATTGCTTACTCCGTCGAAAGTAGCATCTTTTCTAAATTTGATTCTCAAGACGTTGTTGTTGGGTCTTAATGCTGTTCCCAATATAGACGAAATTATCTGCTTTTTCGAAGTTATGACTGACTGGAGATATTTTGTCTTGTCCTCGTTCACCCCCAGACCCTAACACTTAGCTTTCTTATCCAGTCTTGAGACAGCAATATCAATATTATCGGCTCGGCGTACCTCTCTATTCAACTCTGAAACTCGTCTTATTTTCTCCAGCCATAAATTATAGTAATTACACTATGTGAGGTGTGTAGGGTTTCTATCAGCCCCTCTTGTATTTTAAGTTTTAATCAATCAAAAATTTGGCAGTGCATAACGGATATTTTCTTAATGAAATCATTTAAAAATTAAGTTTTTGTTGAGCCTTTAACCTAATATTGAATGTAATTTAATCAAATCATAATATTATTTAGTGCTTGGATTTTTTATTAACAAAATATTATATTTTTTCTGAATCTGACAGCTAAACGTAGAACATTTTCGCCTTATATTTATAAATACATAAATAATAATTCAGTCTCTTTCCTCTCTAGAAGCTCATATCATCAACGCTCTACTTTTACGTTTCGATTTCGCCACTGACAAAAATATTTGCTGTTTTAATAACTATTTTGATCTCTTAAATTATTTTACACCTTGATTCTATGATATTTTCTTACAGGACATTTAAAAATGCAGGAAATGAGTTACCTGCAAGATAATTCCAAAGTGGAGGCACTCACGAAGGCTGTACTCATATCCATTCTTGGCGTCGCCATTGTCATATCGAATCTTCTCATTATAGCCACCTATGCGAATTTTAAAGGTGAGTCCTTGCATTATACATGCATACACGTACAGTACATTTGGTTATTAAGTGCATTTGATATGTACATGAGAAATGCAAGCATATATTGAAAAAAAAAAACAACTGTGAAATATATGTACACATATGTGTACAAAAACTATAAAACATATACTTGTACAAGAATTATGCCAGGATGCCACGTAAATAAATTTGGAAGAAGGTACAGCAAATCTGCGGATGCATGAGATAAACATACTTTTTTGGTTGTAGATTAGAAGAGCGTTTAGACGAGTTTTATTTTGCTGTGCAAAAAAAAGAAACATATTAAGGGAGAAATCCTCACAAATACATACATACATTCATAAATACTTTCGAATTAATTTTATAATAATTTTTTATTACTTTATTAAATTGATTTTCATACCAAATTCTCATATCAATTGAACCAATAGGCTATTTTATACAAATCTATCCTATATCATTTAGTCAAATGACGCGCTAAATACATAAATATTTTTTTATTAATCCATTATTTCAAATGTGCTCAATAACTTTTTGCTATTAGCATCAATGGCAATTCGCTTTAATCGGTTTTCACAGGCCCCTCTTCAGAAAAACTCTTCACATTGACAGAAGCAGATGGACTATAAGCGGGATGCATAAGAACCTCCCAGTCTGGGTCTTAGATTAAAGTTACCAAAACGTTGTCGACAAAACCAAAATTGTATATAATTGACTGTTAAAATACAGGACCGTAAACTTACTTACTTTCTTACTTTATAGCCAAATTTATAACATTGCGCCAATCATTCCATTTTTTCGCTATTTGGCGCCAATTGGAGATACCTAGTAAAGCCAGGTACCTCTCCACATGATATTTCCAACGGAGTCGAGGTCTTTTTCGTCGATAACTTTCGAAGATGGAATAGGCTTATAAATCCGGACCACATGACTTAGCCAGCGTAGCCGCTGGTTTTTCATCTGTCATATTTGCCGTTACCTAATCGTAGATGACCGTAAATCTTATGCTCTCGAAAACTCTTAACGCCGACTCATCAGATGTTGCCATCGTCCATGCCACCGCACTATTTAGCAGGACAATAACGATAAGCAACTTGTAGAGTTTGATTTTCAAAGAATCTTTGCTGGTGTCCATCTTTGACATGCGCTCAATACTCTCTGCAAAGTGACAAACGTTTCGATGAGAGTTCTTTGATCCATTCTTCCACAAAAATGCACATACAACTGTTCGTAAGGAGTGTACTTGCATAACAATCATGTCAACCTTACTTTTTGAACACACCTCATACTAAAGAACTTTCAACGGGCACTCTATTCAATCTATATCGCTCCGGAAAGGTATAAGTATTACTCCCATTTGCATTCGGTGTGGAAATCGTCACAAATCGTACACAACTATCATATTTATATAATTATAAGCTCATGCCTACATACGAATTGTGTTCAAAAAATATAGCGAAATTTGTGTTTTTTCAAAAATTATTTATTTATTCATGGATATCTATTTTGTCCCCTTCAAAGTAATCCCCATGAGATATTATACACTTGTGCCAACGGTTTTTCCAATCTTCGTAGCACTTCAAAAAATCATTTTTTTATCTTATTCAGCTCCTCCTTCGATACCGTCTTTATCTCGTCAATCGTAGCGTAACGTCGTCCTTTCATGGGCCTCTTCAGTTTAGTGAACAAGAAAAAGTCACAGGGGGCCAGATCTGGGGAATACGGTGGCTGCGGCATCAAAAAGCAACGATGTGTGAGCAGCGGCGTTATCGTGGTGCAAAAGCCAATTTTTGTTCTTCCACAAATCCGGGCGTTTCTGGCAGATTGTTTCGCGCAAATTGCACATAACTTGCTGGTAATATTCCTTATTGGCCGTTCTACTCTGTGGCAAGAACTCATGATGCACCACACCCCTGCAATCGAAGAAAACTGTCTGTTGTTGAAGTGCTCTGGCGTCTGGCACGCTCTTCGTCGTTCACATCTTCTCGGCCTTCTGAGAATATTTCGTTCGAGCGATAAACGTTGCTTCGGTCCAAGTTAGCTTCTCCGTATGCCACAGTCAACATTCGGAATGCATCCGCGCACTTAATTTCGTTTTTCACACTAAATTTGATAGAGGTTCTTCGATCCATTTTTTTGAAAAGGTAAAAATCGAAGACCATCCAAAACACGTGCAAGCAAAGCAGCTGTCAACAATTAAGTGAACAATGACCGAGCTTGTCGGCATAAGTCACCACAAAAAAATCGAAATTCGATTATACGTAAACCGCGAAAATTCAAAATTCGCGATACATTTTGAACACTCCTCGTATATTTGATAGTTCCGTTCGTATGTGAGAATAATTTTCTTGTCAATCGGCTAATTCACGATGCTTTTTTAATTCTTTTTTTTTTTAATTAATTAATTAATTATTTTTATTTTTGTAATTTGCTTGTAGTATAAACAAATACCGAAAACGTATCGCTAATAACTACTTGGCCTCCTCATTCCGTTTAGGTCCCACAGAAGTCATCAATTATTATTTACTCTCGCTGGCAGTAGCGGATCTGCTTTGCGGTTTATTGGTTGTGCCCTTCTCTGTATATCCAGCATTAACCGGAGAATGGATGTACGGCGACATCGTGTGCCGCTTCACCGGCTATCTGGAGGTGACACTATGGGCCGTATCTGTGTATACATTTATGTGGATCTCGGTGGATAGATACTTGGCTGTCCGGAAGCCGTTACGCTATGAGACTGTTCAGACTAAAACCAGGTAAATATTACTCAATGCCAAATCTGTATCAATGTTATTTATTGTATGTGCACAAAAGGTATACCAGTAAATCAGTGAGAGAAATAAATACGAGATTCGTAAAAATCGAGTTTTCTTCTACTTCTTGCAGATGCCAATGTTGGATGGCATTTACGTGGATTTCCGCCGCATTACTATGCTGCCCACCCATATTGGGATACACGAAGCCCATCACAAATAATGTGACACACATTTGCATGCTCGATTGGGGTAATATGGCGGCGTATAGTGCGACATTGGCGATTTTAGTTTTAGGTCCTAGCGTTATATCCATAGTTCATAATTATGGTTATATTTTTGTAATGATGAAAAAACTGAAATCGGGTGAACCTATACATGATAAAGAATATGCTACCGCATTAGCTGAAAATTTATCGAATCCTAGTCATATGATGTCATTCGTATTAGTGTTTGCATTCTGGATGTCATGGTTGCCATGGATGGCCATACGCTTATACGAAGTGGTGACCGGTGATGTTATCCAAAGTACTCTTATTAATTTTATGGTCGTTTGGATTGGCGTGCTGAATTCATTTTGGAAGATCATCATAATGACCAGTATGTCACCACAATTTCGCATCGCACTTAGAGTATTTTGTTTAACAATATGTTGTAAGACTAAGGGCCGTTTGCAAGCAGAACTAATCGGATTGGACCCAGATGACTAGAGTCGTTAGATTTTCCACAGTATGAACGGTTAAATTAATTTTCACAATTGGCTTACTTACTCAACAATTTACATTCGAATCATATTTTTTTTTTTGCCGCTGAATGTATTGGTCTTGATTCGGTAATTTGGTAATTTTGGCAGCCTAAATTCATTTAAAAGCAGAATTATTTTAAGAAAATGACGAATAAGTACAGGTATTATGGCGTATGTTTGTAAGCATTTATCAGAGTTGTGAAAAACTGCATTAATCGCATGCATTACAGCACTGCCAGGCGACAACACTAATGCGGCTTATCAATCTTAATTTACACTCATTCTAGCATTTTCAGTTTACAATTCAAATAATAATTGACATTTTATAGAAGTTAAGCGATTTTCGATTGAGTTTTAGCTTAGAATTAGGTCTCTTTGTATAGTTCTTGTGACTAGATTAAACAAAATTGTTCACTATTTTTGGAACGGACAATGGGTTTTTATATTGCACTGGTCACAATTTAGGTCCTTCGCTTCGGCGCGCGCCGTCACATAAAATAGCAGAGTTTTCATATATTTTATTGAATTTATACCCTTCGATTGAGAATAATATATATCACAATGATTTACAATTGTGAATGTTCAATTGCTTGAATAGAAAGAAGAACTAAAAGGAAATTAAATGAAAAGTGCAAAACGTGGGGTTAATTATAAAAGAAAATCATACTCTTGCATACCAGCTTCACAATTTCGGAAAACCAAAGTAGCTACGCACCTGACTAACATTGCCAGACGGCAGCTCTAATCCCGATTAACTAATGCAGCGAGTTGGTTATTAAACACAGAGTATAGTTATATCATTTTAGAAATAGCTTGAAAATATAAAATTGTTGAGTACAACAAGAAAGCGATATTATTGTAGCAGACAGTGCCCCTTTGGTATTCAAATTATAAATAAATTTTATTCTTTCACTGTTTCGCTTTACCTATAAATAGTTTGGATCATCCGGGAAAAACCATTGATTTCTAGTTTTTTGAAAATAAATCGGCATCGAAAAACCGTTATCAGTTTTGTTTATATTTCATTCACGATAAAATACTATTTTAGTGCCGAAAACCAAATACTTATTTAAAAGAAAACTTAACGTTCTTCCCCTAAATTTATTAAACAAGATCAAAATAATAGAGGCATTCACAAACATAGGCCGTAGCACGATATTTCATGCTTTTGACAGAAGCGAAGGCAATTTCTGCCAATCAAAATGATGAAAAGCACTAAAATGTGATTACATATCGAAATTCGCAGCTGAAATGCAAATGTATTAATCCAGATTTGTACAGTTAATCGGGCTTACGGCCACCGTTTGTACGAGTATAGGCCTTTAATGCACGATATTACTGTCTGTGCAGAAATGAAGCCTTTTTAATTTTATACATTAACTCTCACTTTTACCACTATAGTAAATTTTGTTACTTTTTTAAACACCCGAAATTGAATTTGGTATTCTGGCGAACAGGTTACAGTGTTTGAAAAAATAGTATAAAAGAAAAATATTCACATCGAAATGGAAGACGGCGCATTTCAAAATAAACAAGTTTTATTTATGTGATTATTAAATCATAAATATTTGAATCTAATTTTGGAAAACATGCCTAAGCGACAAAAAAAGCTGAATGAAAACACTATCTTCCAAATCAAAAGGGCAATTATTTTCTCGCAACTTCTTAGCATACGCCTTTTTCACTTTTTTCTTCATCTTCCATGAATTCCAGGCCTAAAATATGCCTACCCATTTTGGTTTTTTATTTTTTCTCAAACTAACAACACAAAACCAAACAGTAGATTTTTTGTTACCTCCAATTTCGCTGGTAACAAAATTTAGACAGTGAGCTCAGAATATGAAATAGTAACAAAACTTACTGAATAGTAAGTTTTAATACCAAAGTAAATTTTGTTACATCGACAGAATACAGACTTTTCTTTTACTTTCTAACTACAGTGTTGAGGTCTTAATGCATTTTACACAACTCTGGGATTTGTGCTTACAACATATAAATAAATACATATGTATTTTTGTATTATTATTATAAAAAAATGATGTTGAATGTATGTAATTCAAATGTGAAATTTTTTTTAAAAATTCAATTCTGTGAAAAATGTTGGGGGTTATAGCGGTAGCTATGTTACTCGTAAATATGGGGACTAATTTATTTATGCGAATAAATACTCATATACATATACATACATAAATACATATGTACGTACGTATTAACATACGTGTATGCAGTAATGTACGGTTGTACGTATGTAAAAGTACTTACGTTCATATGGGCTTGAGTGAATAACCACAATTTTTGACAACAAAATGTGAAACCATTTATTGTTGTTGTTTAGGCATTTTTTCATAGATATAATTAGATTATATAGATTAGTAATAAAATATTATAAATTAGTAATATTGCAATTCAGATTAGTCGAATTTATGTTAACCAATTAATTTCGATGAATTGTTTGGTGATTTGAATAATCGCCAAAATTTGATAGTCCCTAAAACTAATTACTTCAATTTGTTTGTTTAAATTGTTTAAAGATCTTTACATTTACTTCTGAATATGTATAAACAAATTTATAGCTCGGCTCTATTTTCGAAGTCATGAGAGAAATAGTTGTAATTAGAAAATAAAAAATAAAAAAGAAATATAAATGAAGGTAAATCGCATACATACGTTTAAAAGTAAGTACTAAATTCAATAAGGAATGTTACCGAAATATAGCCAAAGAATTAATAAATATATATGTATGTATGTACAGTATACGTTAATGAATTCATTCATATTTTTATTTAAGTCATTTAAGTCTCGAATTAGAACTAGTTTTCTTCTTTCATTTTATTTTGAAAAATAAAATCTACCGCCCTTGTTATGGTTTGCGCTGTCGTCGTGCCTACCGCACTGTCATGTCGACGAGAAATTGCAATTGCCGAAGGTATTGCGACGACGAAGACAGTTTATCGATGAAATAAATGCCATTCGATATTTCAGCGACTGCTGTTGCAATTTGTGCACCCAATATTTCATAGAATAATTTGTATTCTATGAGATGTGCAACTGCTTTAATTAAATATCCGTCAGTATTTTACCCCGGCCGAGCTCCTCCTCGAACCTGTGGTATGCGTGTGTATGCAGTGTCGGCAGAACGACTACGGCAAAATGAAATTTGTGTCGATAGTTATCGATAAAAATTACTGCAATACGAATTTTAGTATTTTTCGGTGAGTTGATGGGCAGTAACAATTGTCACCAATTTGTTCTAAACCGCGTTCGGTGAAGCAAAAAGCCAGTAATATTTGCACCGAGAGAGCGCAATTCGTGTCAATGGCGCCAACCACAATAAGGAGGATAATTCAAATTGTAATTTGTTTAAATTTTCCACATAAAACATATTTTAGTATAATGTCCACAAGTAAATAAAATTTGATTGTCTTATTGAAAATGTATGACATTTAATTTAATTTTTGTATGTAAATATATTGCTAGATTGTTTAATAACCTGAAATTTCTCTATACTCTCTGTTATAACATTATATTAACTTTACTGCTTTCCATATATTTATTTAGCTACATATTTATAAACGCATTGTCTGCGCTCGAGTTTGTTGTGAAAATTCCTTCGAGTACTTTAAAATGAATATTAATTTTTATCCTTTTTCCTTAGTGGGATAAATACAGTTTCCATTTGAGGGCAGCTTTGCGCTTATAAAATTTGGGTTTTCATTTATAATACTTATGTATATATATATATGTATGTGTGTAAATAATGTTAACAGTTTTATATTTAGAAAATTTGTTGGAAAATTCGAATTTATTTTTAGGAAAAGAAAAAAGCAAAAATATAGCAATTAAATTAAATTCAAGAGTTAAATTGTCGAATATATTCAATAAAAATTTTTTTAATCATCACATTGTACAATATATGTATGTATGTTGTTTCATTAACAGTAAGGAAGTAACAGATGTAAAAAAAAATCCATGTTTTCTTTTTAATTACATTCTTTATTTATTAATTGCATCTGCTATTACGGATGGAGCCCAACAGTAAGTATTCAAGTCTTACATCCATGGACGGTAATCAATATAAGCAATAAAATAAAAATCACAACATAACGATAATTTAAATTTTTTTTATAAATAAATATTGTTGTTAAATAATATCGTTTAAGCTCCGGCTTTCCTTTTTTAAGGAATTTTCGTAAAAATTAATACATAAACTTTTTGACTGTGTAATGCCTACTGTACTGGGAGTAAGCAGTTACAATGGCAGGTATATACTCGATTCCTAATCTAGTATCCACGTCTCGCACACTGGAGGCGAACCAACTCTTGCGGCAAGATTCGGTAACGAACCAATGTGGAGTCTTTGGTCACGGCTGAAAGAGGGGGATCTTCAGTGCAGACACTCCGACAAATTCTGTTTAAGCGTTCGCTGAAGTCTAATTGCAGCGTCTATACACCAAAGGTGCGGTATTGAGGGGGATTTGGTCTTAAATCAAGCGATTGTGTAAGCTGATGTTAACATCAAAAGCTCTGCCGGGATCGGGAAGAACCTCTCCGAGCCGTTCGATACCAAACGTTCGTTAATCTATTGCTTGAGAAAATAGTACGAGCGGACTAGCTGAATAAAACAATTTTTAAGGATGGATAAGTTAGCGAAGCATTTGTATCTGGTGGTGAACGAGGACAACACAACTTCTCTTATTATTAAACAAATAACAGTGTAAAAAAAACAGTGTACGCCATGAAATCCAACACAGAATCTCTCATACCAACAGATGCTACCTTGGTCTGAGTAGACTATTGAAAGGTAAAACCCGATTTCGACGAACTAAGAGCAAACTCTACAAGTCGTCCATCATTCTCGTAGAATTGTGGACGATGTCAGCATCTTATGCGCTGGCTTTGGGGTCCCGGGAGGCCGAAAATATGACCACGTGCTTATAGGCAATCCCATAACGTCATAAAAAAGTTTTCAGCTAAGAAATAAAATCTTATCACCGTCAGGTAAGAAAAATAACCGAACTAGCACTAAATAAACCTATCTTGTAACACTGCTGCCGAAAGAACTTAAATGTTCTCCCGATATACTTGACACAAATCTAACACTGTTGTTATTGAAGTAACTAGGTGACCCTTAGTCGATATCCTCGATGAGATGAGTAAATTCGATGTCTCGATGAGCTTGAACCAAAGGAAATTTGTGTTAGATATGTAGATTTTAGAAGTCACGCCAAGGAGTGTTTAGTATTAGCGCGGACTAATTGCATGCTGACTTGGCTACTTAACACCGCTGCTTCATCGAAGAAACATTTTGTAGGAGCGTTACTCCGAGCTATCTTCAAGTCACACCTCGTCCAACCGAATACTTCTGCTGAGCTTGCCATAAACGACCCACTGTTTTTTTTTTTTTTGGTTGCAACGGCTCACCAACTTCGCAGCAGATGAGGCTAGTTATCTAGCGGAAGGTCATCTACCCGAAAACCGTCATTTTCGATAACCCCACATTGTTATTAATAAATATTGAATGATGCGTTGTTATTACATGGTCTGGTAAGAGGAGGGCATTTGGTTTTCCAATATTTCACGTGCAGATGTCCCTGTGAGTTATTTTTCTTATTGCTTTCGTTACTCGCTTTCAATGCTTTTTCGGCTGGCAAGTCTGATGGTAATCAGCAACAATTCTCTTCGAATTGTTTTGTAATGTAAACAACTGTAGTGCGAGCGAGACAACATGCTTGACGGCAGCTGTGAAAAATCAGAGGAAAAGTTTTTCGATGAAGACGCAGTGAAGCAGTCACGCGAGGCAAACATCAGCAAACTAAATAATCTAAATAAATATATTTTTATTGTAGAAAACATAAATGTGGTCAAAAATACAACAAAGTGTGAAAAATTAGATTAATTGCAAAAAAAATGTCTCTCGTGTTATGCGAAACGGTTAAAAAGTAGTACTCGAACAAAATAACGATCAAGGTTTAACAATTTCTTCGCCTACAGGCAGAACGGTTTGCGTGTGTGCGCGACATTTTATGGAGCTAAATTGCGTTGCTTTGTTTGACACTATAACTCAAAATTTTGTTTGCAGAAATTATCCTACAGGGACAGCCAAAGATTATGTTTTGTTATATAAATTTATCGACCCTGTAAATTGGATTTCAAAGGAGTTAAGACTACCTCTACAAAATCTCCTCTACAAGTAAATCCAAATCAACGAAATAGCTGTTGTCTAACTTTTCACTTCATACATGCGAATCAGACTGGCCTAACATGTAATGGAGCTGCAAATATATTTTTTACACAGTTTACTCAAAAAAACATTTTGAGTTATTTTTGATATTTAGTCTGAAAGATTTTGAATCTTTTCTATTAATTACTTAAGAAGGAAACAAAAGTGGTTATGTACATAAAACAAAAAAGTTAATTCATATTATTTAATGGCTAATACCGTTAGTTCAATATTGCTGGATTTGTCCTTTACCAAAAACCGTGCTTAACACTTCTTCCCCAGTCAATAAAACGCTGACATGATAATGCACCTACATTCTCACATACATACATACGTATGTACATAGCTCTCACATACAAGTAATATTTGTACCGATATGAGTTAAGTATATGGTTGAATTTTTGGAAGGTTAACGTCTCTTTTTTTAACCAAATTTGAAAAAAAAAAACGATATAAAGTTATCAGCAAATCAAGAAGTAAATTTTTAATTTAAATAAGTATAAGATCCGAAAACAAAAAAGCTATTGTATGAATAAGAAAGCAGAATATACATATGTTCATACGTACATATGTATCTACACGTATGTAAATACGGACAATGAGTAAAAAATCGGCAGCTGTTTTTGTTTACTTCTATATACATACTCTATTCGCGTTTTTCTCTTCGTCTTCGTTCGTATTTTTCTGGAATGGGTTTTTGGAACTCTATTTTCTATATACACTTCGTATATTATGAGAATTGTGTACGTGCTCATTTCGAGTTTTACAAGTACATTGTGTGTATATACGTTTGTATGTAGTTTGATGTGTTTGTTCTTTTTCACCATTTCGATAACCGGCTTGCAAATTATATTCTATATTTGAATACATTTTCTTTAAAAATTTAAAAGTTTTAGCGCAGCCGCCAAAAGCTAAACTAATTCAAATATTTATTATCCTGTTTTTGTTGCTAAATACTATGCTATGTACGTGCGTAGCCATGTAGGTTAAGAATTACAGCTGTATGCATACATATACGTATGAATGTATGTATCTAATTAGATTCATTCATAATAATCAAGTGTTTATATAATTGCTAATTTTGTTTACTTCTTGCTACATATAAAGGTGGAGATTTTCTTAGGTTCAAATCAGTAGCCTGCAAATATTCTTGACATTTTGTGTACGCAACGCGGCTGTAAAGATGTTATAGGAAATTTGCTCAATGCCAATGATATATATACATACGTATACGTTAATATAATATATATATATATATATTTATCTGCCCTTTCATAGAAATCCTTAACATTCTTCTCTGCAAGTAACAGACAAACTGTTATACTAATGTTATATACGACCAACACCGACGACATCAAAATTATATACTAAATAAATAAATAAATAAATGTTACTAATAAATGTTACTAATTGTGATAAAAAAAAAGTCAGACAGACGGTCATAGCTAGTTTCAATTAGTTTTTTAATTCTATGGGCGATTATGAAAAGTATGCTGAGATATGATCGGAATGAATTTTCTGCTAAAAAACACTTTTCTTTGGCAATTTCAAATAGAAAAATATAAAAAATATTAAAATATTAAAAAAATTTAGTTTTAAAAATCACTAAATATATAAAAAGTTCGATGTAAGAAATAAGTTTCAGAAATATTAAAATTTAAAATATTATAAAAAAAATTCTAGACTTTTCATTATGAATTTGTTGCTAATAGTGAATATTATTTGAGATTTTGTCAGCGATCTAAATAAATAACAATTCTGCCAACGAAAATGCAAAGTGATCAGTGGCAAAATGGTTTGCATCGATTGACTTTTGTCCAAGCTGCGCGGGTTTAAATCCTTCTCGCGATTCTTTTTCGTGTTTTATTTTTTGAAATTGCCAAATTTTAAATCGCGCCAAAGAATTGCTTGTTGATTCGGTGTACGAGGGAAAAGAAGTTGGCATACTTTCGTGTATGTATGGGTCTTTCATGAATGTTAGCGCTCACATCAAAATATATTTATATAATATCATATAAATTAAATTGAAAATATTTACTTACTTCGAATGTTTACTCTCTAATTACGAATAAGATGTATAATAATATAATGGGAATCATACATACATGTTGATGATGTACATATATATGTAATTGTGTAAACATTACTGCGACCTTCAATAATTTTTATTATATGCTGTGTTATCAAAGACGCGCACGTAAATATACTAAATACATACATATTAACCATATTGGGCTATTGTCTTATTTATTTTGGTAAACAAACACGATTTAGTTGATTACTAATCTCATTTATATTTCGTGAAAATAAAATAATAAAACGTCAAAGTACCACAAGCAGTTATGATGCAGCTAAACTCAAACGACGGTTCAAATACCGAATTACAGTAACCCATAAAATATTTATATAAAAATAAGGACACAAACTAAAACTAACTAAATCAACAATAATCGATAAATAAAATAAAAATCCAACATTTTTACGACGGGCATTCCGATTACGACCAAAATTATAATAAAACGAAAAGTATCTGCGATACGGCGAATAGTTCACCGCCACCGACAATCCCCTCGCTCCTTGAGAGTGTTGCGGTGAAAAATGTCCACGTTTTTAAACAATTTCTTCCCAGCAGGTAAGTGGTGTTGGCAACATACAATGTACATACGCACATATGCATCTGAACTGCCTAGTGAATTAGTGTAATTTCAGCTTTACGATTAAAAAATTTTTTAAAATCTGTACGTCTAACAGTATTAGAAAGATTGAAAATTTTTATAAATTAAAAATTATGTATTTATATTTTTAAGTAAACTTAAAGAATAGGTATTAATTATTTTTGATCCCAATAAAAGTTTCGAGAACAACCAAGAAGCAGCCTTGGGAAGGTGCGCGCTAAAAGTCAGGTAGACCCAGTGCTTTAAGGTTTAAAAGCGCTTTTCTCAAAACTGTGTTTTCAAACTCGGCTTTCAAAGTTCTCGAAATCACGAGAAATTGGATGAACGATTTTTTTTCACATGCAAAAAAAAAATTTAACGAATTTTATGAAAAATTTTATGTTTTTTGTTAAAATATCTGCCAGAAATCAAATTTTAACAAATTTGTGTTTTCCTTCTTTCAAATTATAGTTTATGGTATTGACTAAAATGCAATTTTTTCACATCGAATGATTCCGTCAAGAGTTCTACTGGCAACCCCGACGTACCTTTCTCCGTCACAATGCCGAAGTTATGAATATTTTCCTTTGATATTTGAGAAATCTTTTTGAAATGTATAGTATATAGTATATTTAGACAGTGAAAAATTTGAATAAAATATTTTATTTTTTTATAATTTTTTTTTTACCGAAGAAATTTATATAACCCCTTGAGCAATTATAAAATTCATATTATATAGGATTATATACCAACTACTAGTATATGTTAAAATTTTGAATTTTAATTTGTCTTGCAATACAGACTGAAATTTTCGGTGTGTGTTGTGTTGTTGGCAAAGGTGGTTGTGAAAAGAAAAAGAAAAAATTTGCCGAAAAATCGCTCTTTTATTTTGTGTTAATTTTGCGTTTTTTTGTAACGAAAATGAAGTTCGTTTGTCCGCTCAATACGGCTTTAAGTTTGGAGAGACAGTTTAGAAAGTGATTTCTCTTCTTTTCAATGTTAACATTTTGACAGATATACATACATACATGCATATGAGTGTATGCATGCATGTTAGTGTTTGAACATATGTATATATGTACATACAATATTCAGGTGATCATTTCGACAGCCCTAAATTTTACCGCTCCTACATACATACATATGTATGATATGTATGAATCCATTACTTGACTGACAAACTGGATCCATTGGCGGTCACTTGGAGTTGCCTAAACGTAACCATGTCACTTGCTTAACATTATGTAGGCGTCAACGAACGTGCTCAGTGATATATAAAATTTATATAGCATTTATTACATGTGTAAGTGTTATGTATGTATATGTGTACATAAACTATATACTTATGTATATTTTGTGTACATATATACATATAAGTATTTTGCTACGTTAACATTAGTTTACTTGAAATTCAATAGAATAAGAAAGAAAAAAACTTGTTTGTTTCTTATTGTATTTTTATTTTATATTTTCCGCTTCAGCAACAAGTAACTTCGGTTATTATTACTCAAGCAAACGATCTGGTTCAACTGTTTCTTGGTAAATCTCTGCACGTGTGTACTGTTTGTGTGTGCACGTACATATGTTTGTGCCCAAAATTGAGATCTCAAATTTGACCGTCCTACTTGTGTATGTATGTATGTATGTATGTCTTTGGAACTAACTGATATTATTCAGGGGCTGGTTCTCGTTATTTTGATATTATCTTCGAAAACCTTGTAACAAAAATATTTGAATTTAAGTTTATCAACATACATACATTTTCCTTGTTTATCTATGGTGTGTTCCTTATTACCTTTTGTTTATATTTTCCCTTTTCGTATTTTCTATTTGTTAACTTATGATAGTACTCTAATACGAATAAAAAAACTTATCAAAATTACTAAATTATTAGATTCTTAAAATCTCTTTTTTTTATTTATTCCAGATACAACTGCAATGGATCCTATTTTTTATTCTCCTTCAAACGGTATTCCTTCAGAAAGTAAACTTGCAACGTACATGGTGAGCAATTAATTTTATTTTATAATTAATAATATTTCTTTCCGAAAATACTTCCTCTATTTGAAGTTGTTAAAATTATTCAAATATTGAATATTACACCATGTCAAAACCTTCGAGTGAATGTCTGAAATTAAAAGTTTCTCATAAATATGATCATTTGTCAGGAGTCTGCTTAGAATAAACTATAGGTCCTTCAATTTTTTGAAAAAACTTTTAACTCAGAACACAAATTAGACGGGGGGGATATTGATGCTATAGTTGTTAAAGGCTCGAAATATACAGAACAGTGTAGAGAGAAAATCAAATTTAGGAGCGTTTGCCAAATATTGTCGGATCCGCTTGAAATTTTCATAGACTGTTTCAAGATATTGTACTAAAAAACAGCAATACATTTTTGGAAAATTCTCACCACCTCTAACCTCTTAAAAAATTAAATATTAGAAGATATTTTGAATGCTTTGAAGCTCACGAAAAAATGGCGAATTTTATATTTTTCAATAACCACCTGCATCATCATCTCAAAACTTAAGTGGCAATCCTCGTATTATTTTACTATACAAATTTTTATTGTTTATGTGTTTATATGTATATCTACGTTTGTAAATATGTGTGTATGTTTTATTGTTTGAAAAGGTAACCCCACAATCTCCCGAATTCATTCCAAATCGTATCAATTCGTCCCCAAATTTCTACACACCTTATCATACGCCTATGCTGAATAATGGCCTTGGAGGAGGTGGTGGGCAGGTCAATGTAGGCGCCGGGGTTGGAACAACTGCAGCGAAATCCGTGAATGGTACACCCCCATCTCTGCTGGGTCTACAAAAAGCAACGGCTGCTGCTGTGGCGCAACAAAAACAACTACAGCAACAACATCACCACCAACATCAGCAACAATCGCAACAGCAGCAACAACAGACACAATCCGCGCACGCGCTAGTGAACGGAGTTATTGCGCCAAACCAGCCTCCAACTGGCGCACCAGCGTACGTTAATATGTCGACACCGCTGAAAGTGCGCGGCAATATGCTGCACAACGATTCACCAACGAATCTTGTAACCGGTGGCGGTGTTGGTAGTGGTGGTGGTGGTGAAAAATCTCCACCGCGCATTACACCGCATGTCTCGCCTATACCCACAACGCTGCCGGCGAACGTACATCAGGTTTGTGTTTTATCTTTAAATATAACCATTTCAACTTGCTCACTAAATGGCCTTTTTTTTGTAGGAGAACGTAGGTGGCACCATCTACTTTTACCCAACTGCCAACCACACATCCGCCGCCAACAATAGCACCGTGGTGAGTAATGTCGTTGATCCAGTTAGTTCGCATCACGTGCCGCCTTCAGCAGTGGCGCCTATACCGGCCGTACAACCGCCCATGCTATACACAGGTCATCATGTGTATCCAGGACCGGCTTCCAATTTAATTGCGTTACAACCGAAAACACACTTGGAATCCGTCTTCTTCCTGCCCGATGAGATACGTTCAGAAATTCTTGCCCGCAATGAGATCTCGAATTTAATGCTGGATCCGGCCGATGTGAGCCAACATGCCCTACCACCGGAAGTAGACAATTATCACTCACTATACCCACTAGAACCGGTTCAGGCGCTACATGGGAAAATTACCCTCCTATCATCCACTTATAAGGCAACACACAACACTACTGGCATTAAATATTGTTTAAGGAGATTACATGGCAAGTATTTGACAAAAAATCGTTACAGTTGGGGACTAATAATAACTAATTGCATAAATTCAAAATGACCATTTTAAAATTAATATATGTACTTATACATGTGAGAGGGCGTTTTATGTTCGTGGAATACGACGGTTGTAACGTGGTGATTAGTCTCCTTAGACTCGTAAGAAGTTTAGTGACACACAAAAAGTAAAAATACGAGGCTTCATTGTTATTAAAGAATTAATCTTTGAGCTATCGTCATTAAGCAACATAATCGGGAGTTCAAATTGAAATATGGAAAAAGTCGAATGTCGTATCGTTATAAAGTTTCTTACCAAGCAAGAAAAATCAGTTTGTGACTATATTGAATGAGGTGTCTGTAGCTTATGGCGACACATATCCAGCACATACGATTATTTAAAAAAAAGAAGGAAATCTTTTTAAAACGAAACATAGAAGTAACCAATAGACTTTTTCCAATAAGTTGAATATGGCGGACAACAAGACGCGAAACGACGTCAGGGAGGCAGTTTGGCGTATTTTAAAGATAAACATATTCGTTGAGGATTAATTAAATTAATTAAAAGAACTGAAAAATGTATCCGTCATGCAGGTGAATATATTGAAAAAGGAAAATAATTTCGGATTTTATTCCACACCTTATCACCCGATCCGCGAACATAAAACCACTACCTCATAGATACGTACATTTATATATCTTAAGAGCAAAATTAAAATTAATTATTATAAATAGAAAAAAATGGTAATTTTTGTGGATTTTAAAACCCTTTCAAATTGTATATATTTCATGTCATTGTATTCTTTGCAGGTTTCCGCCTACAGTCAACAAAATGTATGACCGTGGTGGAGATGTGGAAGAAATTGCAACATTCGAATGTGGTACAACTGCGTGAAATATTCACAACAAAAGCATTTGGTGATAATTGTAAGTAGATTTTGTTGATGTTTTAAAAAATTCGAAATGTCTTTACTAATTTTTCTTCTAATCATTTCTCTCTTCAAACTTATAGCGTTAGTATTAGTTTATGATTATCATCCCGGTTCACAAACTTTGCTTACTAAGTACTTTACGCCCACACAGGAGCCCAACGGCTACCCCGATCCATTCCAAGGTGATGCACGTCCGTTCAGGTGCGAAATATCTTTACAAACATTCCTTTCATGCAATGCAAATAATATCAATTAGCACATATGTATATACATAAATCTTTTTTTAATTGATTTTTTTTTTTGTCAACTAAAACGGCTGTGGCTTGGCTAACTGCTTAAATGACTTAACCACACGAATATAACAATACATGTACATCTGTTTGTGTGGATACATACTAACATTCCTTTATTGCAGCCACAAGAGTAACTTACAGCGTACCAATAACGGACCATTGTTGCCGGAAGCGACTATTTGGTCAATTATCATGCAACTAACAGCCGGTTTGCGTGCAATACACCAGGCAGGACTCGCCTGCAAGTGAGTCGTAGATCAGAAGCATTTTAATTAAGTTTGTTTTTAATTAGATATTGAAATTCGAAATCGAAAGGGTCTTGGATCCAACGAAAGTACTTGTGACTGGTAAACGGATACGCTTGAGTTTTTGTGGTACAAGCGATATAGCACAATTCGACCCTAATGCAGCGAATCCTTTGGCAGTGACGAGCATGCACCAACAAGTAAATAAAAGAAAAAAAATAAACTAATATATGACACTTACTACTTAATGTCAAATCCTATCACTGCAGGATGATCTCACTGCTTTGGGTCGGCTGGTGTTAGCCCTTGCATGTCGATGTTTACAGTCAGTGCAGCGGGAGAATGTTCAAAACAGCATTGAAATGATATCCCGCCACTACTCTGCTGATCTGCGCAATTTTATTGTGTAAGATTTGATTAGAACTTCGGATTTCAGGCAATCATTAAATAATTAATACATACATACGCTTTCTAATTTTAGTTATTTGTTTTCGCCGACGCAACGACGCTCAGTAACTGATCTTATGCCAATGATTGGCGCACGTTTCTACACACAAATGGATGCATTGCAGAGCCTTTGTGACATACAAGAAGACGAGCTGGCCAAAGAGATGGAGAATGGTCGGCTTTATAGGATTTTGGTGAAATTAAACTGTATAAATGAAAGACCCGAGTATGTATTCAAGCGGAATTCGTACACTTGTATATATACATATATGCATTAGAGTGCAGGGTCATTCGATAATTAATGCCTCAGTGGCTTCGGTTGAATTGCTTAAAACTTAAAATTAAAAACGGTCAATCAAAAATTGCATAATTTATTACTTTACTTCCAAGAGAACAAGTACAAGGGCCTTGCTTGCTACGAAGAAGTAATTTGTTTATTGTGAAGGCTGCCTTACTGAAGACCAGGGGCATATCTGATGACAGAATACAAAGCAAAGAAAACCATACGATTTGAAATTTTATCCGCAGTGAGGCCAGTCATAGAAGGCGTCTAAAATGCAATAGTTCTCATGATAGTCGGGTCTTTGTACCGGTACGACTATATAATATTTTTGGTGTTACAACAATAACACTATATAAATTAAACCCTTTGATTTTAATATATATTTGAGTTGAGGTCAGTAGATAGAGAAGTCTAAAACCTAATAGTCGAGTGAATGGCAAAACAACCTGCAATTTTATCTGACCAAGACTATTTGAAGCATATTTTGCTGTTAAAACAACAACAAAATAAGGGTGTTAGCCGAAATGAACTGTTAATTATCGATGAGCCTAACAAAATGAGACAATTTTTAAATGTACATATGTATTTTTTTTTTTTTTTTTTTTTTTCAAATATAATATTGATAATAGGTAAACATATAAATGTTTTACATTTTCACCGTTTTAAATTTATATAACATATTTAACATATGTACTTATGTACAACTCCATTTCAGTTTCAACTTGGATTGCACTTGGTCAGAAACTGGTGATAGATATATGCTGAAACTGTTTCGTGATTATTTGTTTCATTCCGTCACAGAAGATGGTCGTCCATGGCTAGATCACGCACATATCGTAAACTCTTTAAATAAACTGGATGCCGGCGCTTTAGAAAGAGTATATTTTATTAACTACTTTTTAACTGATTTATTTGGCACACCATATACATATACAAGCATTTTTTTGTAAAATGAATAATGCATAACTTTTTCTAGGTTCAATTGATGTCACGTGACGAACAATCTGTCTTAATTGTTACATATGCTGAACTAAAAAATTGTCTGGAAAATGCATTTGCCGAACTTGTGATGAATGCACAGACATAATGCTTTCAAAAAGCCAATAGGACCTGCATCACCAACAGTCCCACCCAACATCTTTGGCAAATTCATTACAAGCATTGTCATTAAAAAGCAAGCAAATATAATTACAGTAACAGTCGCTTTATTTGGTAGCATTAAAAATTGTTGTAACTGTACTGTTAATGTATGTAAAAGACCACCGTCTGTTATGTGTGAGGGGAACTAAGCACGAGAATATTTGTAACGCAGAAGTATACAAGCTTTTTTTCTACAAATGAAATCCGTCGGAAACTTCGATAATTTACTCCACCCCCCCTCCCCCCCTCTCTTTTTCAAAAACTGCATATCTATTTATCCCTGCGACATATAATTATTAAGCTAAAAAGATTTTAATGTGGAAACAAAGGAAAAAATGAAGACTAATATAAATCGAAAGAAACTGAAATTGAAACAAAGTACTTTTAAAAAGTCTTAAATAATCAGAGCAAAAAATGAAGAAAAAAAAAAACAGAGAAACGAAAATAAACATGTATGAACGAGGGCAAGTAGTTTTACTTGTGATATCTATTGAAACAAGTGTTTGGCGCTGTCTATTGAATACTAATAAGAAGTTTTTGTTGTTGTTGTACGAGAAAGAATGACGGAGTAAATAATCTATTTTTACAGAAAAGTTGAAAATACAAAAACATACTTGTATTGAAATTAAAAGCGATCGACAAGTGAATGTAAGACCTACAACAAGGGCACCATGTTGAAATTTGGGGTAATCGGAAATCGGAAACTCAACAAAACCAGTATCTCGTTCTATGAACCGACTATTTAATAATTATTTGACTGGCGAATTGAGAGAGACTTAATATTTAGTATTTACTGTTTTTGTTCAGTTTATATATAAAACAAAAATAAAAACTATTATTGTAGTTTTGGATTATTTGCTGCAGTCGTCTACCGGTTGCAGTTTTTCGCTATTCCCTTCTTTGCAAGGGTAAATTTTTATTGTTTTTTTTTTATATTAAAACTTCCACTAAGATAAAATACATATATATACATAGTGCGATCAGTTTCTTCCTATTTAATTTAAAACTTTATTCGTTTATACCTGAGTGATAAAAAAATCTGTAAACAAATTATACAATACATGTTATCAGAATTGTAATGCAATTTATTCAGTTGAGCTTGAACTTACCGATACCGCACTATCAAAGGAGCCCAACTTGTTTCTTCTACAAGAAAATTAAGTAATCTTAAATTATTGTACTTGAATAAGACTTATATTTAATAAAAAAAATTAATAAAATTAAAAAATTGAAACTAATTTTTTATTTAGAAGGAATATATGTATTTATTTGAAAATGCGACTCTGTTCGTTATTTTATTTTCTGCTTAGAGATTCAGATGTACTACATATGTAATTTGCAATAAACTCGCAGTCATATGAAATTGGGAAACCCACTAGATAGCGGAGGATAATAGAAAGAGAGCCGGAGAAATACCACCACCCATAGCAGGCAACGAGCTCGAGCTGCCTCGAGAGACCCGCATGACCCTGACACAACTCAGGTCTGGATATTGTAGCAGGTTAAACTCCTACCTATCCAGACTAGACCCCAGCATACCTAACGTATGCCCGGCATGTGGAGAGTCCCCGCACGACACTAACCACCTCTTCACATGCCCCCTCAAACCTACTCATCTAACCCCCCTCTCCCTTTGGTCCATCCCCGTCGAAACAGCTCGTTTCCTGGGGCTACCTTTAGATGACCTCGACGACTTAGACTAACTCAAGCCTGTGCCTAAGCGGGGTTAGCGAACCGCTACAACAACAACAGAATGAGAGCCATAAAAATTCACAAGCGAGCGGATTTTTTGCCGACGATTTAAAATCTGGAAAATTATTTAGTTATTTAGGAAAAGGTCTTCCACTAAATTCTTAATAAAGTCGACCATTGAACTTTAATATGATTTCAATTAGCTAAATTTCCCTTTCGTACATAGCCCCCTAATAATTTTGTTAACTTTTCGTTATGCACTGGTCATAATATGTCCATGTATGTTGGTCTCGATGGTAACACTTTTTTTTTAAATAAATTTCTAATGTTGAATACTATTTTCTAATTAAAACTCGTGTTGTTAAATTTTATTGGTATTTATTTGAAAAACTTTGTAAAGCATGTTTACTTACATGCATACATGGCGTTAAAAATTTTAAGAAATAATTTTTACTTACTAAAAGTAATTGGAGCATTGTATATTGTGCCCTATTTTTAAATGTTCATTTGGACGGAATGGTATAGTTACGAGTTATAATTACATTCTAGATTCACTGTATATTCGTATAAAAGTTTAATTAAAAAGGCACTTTTGAAAACAGTATGTGATTTATGTATATGTACATGCATGTTGACGCATTTAAAAAGTTTGTACTATATCTTAATGTGGTTTTCGACTTATTATTTAGTGCTTACAATATCAGAATTGTGCAAATATTTAGTGAGCTAATATTCGAATATATTATTTGATAGAAATATGGACTTATTTTATAGTTATAGCATTGTTGAGTTTCACCTATGCATAACTGATCTCGTGCTCATAGCTCTTTTCGTCCCATTCATGGTTGTCGGGAAGTGCATGATGACGTAAACCACAAAGCCGTGGACCAAAGCGTAAAATTACAATAATTACACCGACAATAAAAAGCGCCAGAGCAGCTACGGCTGGATATAGTAAAATAAATGCCATCTTCTATTATCGAGTTGTGGACGGTGTTTTAGATATCGCTTTCGCGCTTCTGCAATTCAACGTATTCTTCTCTTTGCCTTTGTTGGTGTAATGTACGACCCTCTGGACGTTGTGGTCGCTGTTGCTGGAGTTGATGTGAATGCGGTTCAATATGCGGTTGATGTACAGGCACCTCCTGTGCTTCGATGTCTTCACGGAAGATTTGTGCTTTCGGCTTTAAGAAAAAGAATGGAATTAATTAAATATTTGAATATTAAATAAAATATTTAAATCACAGTTGTTTTATAATGAATAATATTCCGTTAAATATCATAGTACTACTATATACATATATGTTTTTCTCCAAATCAACAATGCTCGCCAAAAATTGAGGAACATATGGCAGATTTAAAAACTCTCTCTATATAAGTATACAACCGAACTTTATACCGGTCCAGCGACTAACTAACATTTTTATTATTAGTTTTCTATATGGATTTGGCCCAAATAGTTGCACAATATATGGTTAAAATTTCAATTTTATTGAATGACTTACATAGAATCGTTCAAAATATGAGGCGTCTTTAAGTTCTGTGAAATCCAAAGGAGGCTGCAAGTGTGGTGTTGCTGACCAAATGGAAACCAACCATCGATTACCTGTTAATCCATTTTCATTATAAAAAAATATAGAAAATATTCAAATACTCATTACAACCTGTATGCCTATCTTGCCAATATCTGCGGTGTTTCGAACAACACCCTAGAATGACATTTAAAATAAGTATGGAGCCAAGAACGACGGTGCAAACAGCAATAGTCACATAAAAGGGTGAAAAGTTCCCATATATATGACCAGTAAAATAAGGATTCTTTTCGTATGCCGTACGCTCCTCAATTGTTGACATTGTAACTGATTGTTTTTTATGTTAAGCCTGCTGAGTTAAAACTTTAAAATAAAATATCAGTCAGAAACTGTCTAAGCTTGTTTCCACTATATTAAAAACTCCAATGTATGTACATAGATACATGTATATTTTGAATGAATAGTTGTCGCGTATGTACATACATATGTAAGTTTTCCCTAATTTGGGTGTGGCAAACACCAAATTAAATTACTCAATGGAAACACTTGGATGATTCCTTTAAACTATATTCCATAAAGTTCCTTGTATTAACTATTAGAAACTTTACTGAAAGCTTTTTATACAATTTGAAGAAACTCACGCAATCCAATTAGAAAATAAAAACAACGCCCTACGACCAATTGTACAAGTCAAATACGTTTAGCGATATAGGAAACTTATCGATAGTGAAATTCAAACGGTAAGAACTCGATATATTTGTTCATGCAGGGATGGTACAGAGAACGTAAACTCAACTTGGCATCTTATATCATATACGTTCTTTGGTACAATTGCGGACCAACTTGTAAACTGTCAAAAGATGCCAAGTTGCGATGGATGCATTTCACCTCAGGCCACCTGAAACTAACAGAGTTGTTGATGCCTAACATTACAGAGCGTAGTAGAAATAAATATGCTCAGAAATGTACTGCTCTGTTAACTTCAGATAACGAAATAAAATAAAATAAACAAAAATATTATTTTCAATAATAGGGGTATTTTCTGTAATAGGGGTGAAAGGACAAATTTCATTAATGTATTTTACATCTTTTTCAAATTTCTATATTTTCTAATAGCATACATTCATTCATGGCGGCTGCGCTAACCGCGCGGTTAGCATTGCATACTGCCGTTCGGAAGGTTCGGGCTCAAATACGCCCAACATTCAAAAGTTATAGAAAATTAATTTAAATAAAAAAATGAAGTTAAATTTTCTAATTACGGGCGCCCCTTGGCAGGGAATGTCAACCCCTCCGAGTGTATTTTTGATATGAAATAAAGTTCCTCATAAAAAAACCATTAGCCGTTCGGAGGCGAGTCAGTGTAAACTGTAGGTCCCTTAATTTTATTGGAAAGACATCAAAACGCAAAAACCACAAATTGGAGGTAAATATCTTTTCATCGATACTGATACTTTTATGATTTATGAGATATTAAAAATTTTTAATAAAAATAAAAATTAAAAATTATAAATGAACCAGAAGGGCTTAGAAAATTTTATTATCATTATAATTGGAATTTCAGTACCTTTTTATATGATCAAAGTTTTCGTTGTCGGTCCCAACAAGGTTAATGACGTATGAGATCATATATGTAAATATAGGAGAATATATGTATGTAAATAAGCATAGGTTTTGTTTTTTTTTTTTTGATAAAAAAAACACTTCTAAACATTCAAAGGCATATAACGATTTTCTGCAACCACTGTACTAACGCTTGTTTGTTTGGTTCATTAATAAACTAAAGTACATACATATAAACGGGCAAATGCTGTTGTTGTTGTTGTAAATCATGATAAAATAATAATAAATAATCGTTCCGATATAAATAGCCGACTGTCACGGAAGTAATTCGATTTCAGTCGCCTCTTACAACAAACATACCTTATTGAGGGCAAATTCTTGAGTTCCCGACCCGAAGGGGCCACGTACATATGTACATAGGTACTTACATTTGGTTGTATACTCCTTTTATATTTATACGTATACATATGTTTGTATGTATGTATGTACCTAATTGGGTCGATTGTATACAAAACATGGCTCAAGCGCATGCCTACGCATTTGTTTACATTTCTAAATGCCGATTTTCATTCATATAATTTTGTAAAAAATTATAACTACAACACTGTGTCAACAAAAGTATAAACAGTAAACAAACACCTGTTACAACTCCCACCATGTGGGTTAAACGGCTAGAAAACATAAACAACGCTTAAGCGCAGCCGCCGGTATTTGTTGGAACATGCGTGGTTGTCCATTAGAGGAGTTAACCTATATTGTCTTCCGCTAACTGCTATTTTTCCTTTTGTAGCACATAGCTTTCAATTGATGAACTCATCACGGTTGAAAATATTCGCGAACTTCATGGAAAACGGTGTAGACACAAAAGTTTTTCAATAGAAAATTTATTAGAAAATCAAATATCTTATAATTACAGTTGTTAAAAGTTTAACCGTTAAATAGCGTATTTAATTCAGTTTATAAAAAAAAATTGCTAACGGAAAATCAAGAACGGAATCATACAGGCATTTACTAGTTGAATCTTGTAATCGATCGTGATGCAATCTCATGAGGATAGTTGTTTATATAATTAATATAAGTAGATAATTTTACACATTGTCGAGTTAGTAAATATTTAAAGATATATATTTTATTGAGAAATAAAAGAAATCAAGAAAATGGTTGATTGTTTAATACCACGGACGTATTATGTGCTAATATGTTTCTTCATATTATATCCAAACGGTGCCAATTTCGTACCAGGGGAAAAAATCAATTACAATCTGTGAGTTAAGTTACTTTTTCCAACTAAACGTTACTAAATTAATAAACAATTTATGTAGTGCTAATTCCTGGGCAGACAAACTGGGTATGGAGCTATACCATTTGGGTGATTTCATTACCAGAAGAAAAGAAGTTCAAGAGGTAAGCAGATGTTGGAAATCTGAAAAGCGAAGATATAACAGTCTATTGATTTTACCCATTAAATGTATGTGAGAAAAGTGGGTTAATTGCACATGGAAAGGACATTTGAAATTTTCATTGCGCTAGCACTCTGCGGGGCATCGTTTGAAGTGCAATTCAATTTGCAATTCGCTAAAGGAAGCCCATAAAACAATGTGAAGGTCCTTAAACAGTTATTGAAACTTAGCATTAAATATTTGCTAGAGAAGCTACAGCACGACAGTGCCGTCTTATTATCTGAATAATGGTCTTAAAGGCAGTAGCTGAAACATTTTTAGGCCGATTGCGATTTTCGTAGCAAAAAGCTGCGTTTCAAACGATTTCAAACTATGAACTAAACTTGATTTTCAAAGTAAATTTTTCAATGAAAACACAAGACGTTTTTTGGATAACTAAAACTGAAGAAATTTAACCTTTTTATGCTAAATTTCAGCCATTAATCGGCGTAGACGTGTCGTGTAGCCTTCAATGTACGAATTTTTAGGTTTTCAGTGGTTTGAAAAATTCGTAAGAAAAACTTCAGGCACGAAAATAATGTTTACTTTGTTGTAGTAACCTCAAAAGTATTCCGCAAAGTGGGTTTGGGGATGTTTCGGGAGTGAGTACTTGTCTGTCACTTGAATATTGGATTATAGTCGCCTCTCACGACAGGCATGCCTTGCCACAGGCAAATTCTAGAACACCTTCGTCGCAGCAGGGGTAGAGGCACAGAACCTCATCGTCTTCTATCGATATTATAATAGTAGGTCATATTAAGAGCTACTTTCGATCTACGATCATATTTTTCTCATTTGCACTGTCCACAATACATATGCAGGTAATTCCTAGCTATATTAAATTGCAGAGCGATGCACTCTAGAGTTTATTCCTTAAATTGGAGCGCTACACGGAGTTGTTGCAATGTCATTAGTAGATAAACCCTTAATGGAACTGGCCAGAAGCCAGTGATTGACTTCTGCCTTCTTCTTTCTCTTCGAATTTCTTGACGTTCCGTAGAGCAAATTTTTTCCTGAAATTGGATATTTTTTCGACCGAATTCCTCATTTTACATTTTCTTTAATTTATGTAAAATTGTGGAATACTTTCAAGCATTTGTTCGACTGAAAATTCAAAATTTCACGACCTTCGATTTTCGGCAGCCAGTGAAGATCGGTAATTGAATGCAGCTTAGTTATAATTAGGGCCTTAATCGTATTTTAATCTTGTTAAATATTACAATATTTAATATTACTGTAGCTCTTGTTTACTGATATTACTAACAAGTTCTTGTTTTCGAAACCAACTTGAAGAGTTTCAAAGAAGCGCAGGTCATATCCAGAAATGGCGCTAAAATTGTGGAAAATATGGCGCACGACATAAAAATTATGATGGAATTAAAAATTAGCGCAGTTCGGGTAAGAAATATATAAATTCGTACATACGAAAAAAAAGTATAATAGTGTAAATCCGTTAATTTCAATTCTTAACAAATATTTTTTGACATTTTAAGCGCATAATGGATACAGCGGAAAATACCGCATTGTCACATCAGAACGACAAAGAGGATTTTTATTTTTCTTATTATAATGCCAAAGATATGAGAGGGCCCGAAGATCCAATACCAACACCAGCACCTCGGGAGCTGGACGACATGGGCAAACCACATATTTTTGTGCCACCCAAAGAGATCATTCTAACACCGAAAGCTGAATTTTTCGATACGCCAGTCAACCTGAGCGTCAGTTCAGTGCATGTGCCCTTGAATGTATTCGATCGAGGTTTGATTTTCATTAGCAATTACTTCATTCTTTAAAACTTATTCATGTATTTATACATATGCATGTACGTTTATATACGTACACTTATTCATACACAACGGATACGCGACATGGACACTTTGCTTTCATTTCAAAATTTCAATATTTTTCATTATCATCAGGCTTTTTTGAATACATCGCTTGCTTTATTGTATGTAGTGTATTTATAAAAAGCATATGTACTTGGAATTTGCTAGAATTTCGTCAGGATATCTTGCGCAGATACATTTCGTGCCACTGTTGTACCTTGACGCCTAATATATTTACATGTATGCTTGAATGCTTTGAAATGCACCAAAGTGACTGCGTAAATGATTCTGGCCAAAGTTGAAAACGAGTCCAAATCTAACAACAACGCTTTTCGACAGACTTAATGACGGGTAACAACCGATGAACTCGTTTCCTTTAATTATTTTATTCTACTTTGTTTTAAACTATATTTCATTTAATTTTTTGTTATTTTATTATATTTCCTTTTATTTTCAACTATTTAGAATTTTTTCTTTCTTTTATTGTATTTTATTCTGAATTATTTCATCTTACTTTATGTTAATTTGCATTTAATTTTGTATTGTTTTATTTTATTCTATTTTACTTTATTTTTTGTTTTCATATTTCATTTTATTTTCTTATATTACTTTATTTTAAATTTAATTTCATTCTGTTCTGTTTTATTTTATTTTATTTTTATTTAATATTCATTTTGTTTTTATTTTATTTTATCGCCTTTTATTTGCCTTTCTGTTCAGTTTTCTATATTATTTTATTTTATTTTATTTTATTTTGTTCTACAAATCTCGATTTCAGTCGGACACCATTTGTTTTAACATAATTATCTAGCAGTAAGCATTTAAGAAAAGGAGCACAGCTAGTTTTGTATGACAACTACCATCATTACTGTAATTCATTAGCCATTGACATGCATACACATTTTTAACTAACCGAGAAAGTGCATACATTAACAATAACACAACACACATGCATCATTTATTGCTCTAAATGTCATTGACATTTAAAAAAAAAAAAAAACAAATCTAATAACTGTTTAAATTTCTCTTCCCAAAAAACCTAACTAAAAACAAACTCAATTCCGCCATTCTCCCATAAATTCAACACAAAAAATAAAAAAAAATAATACCAAAACAAACAACTACGAAAAATTATAATTTCAAACAAAACAAACACATTTGATTGAACAAAATTAAAACAAAAAAAAAAAAAAAACATAGCCGCGGAAGTCATCAAATCCATTCAATGGTCAGAGAATTTAGATCAAATATTTCGCGATAATTACAAAAACGATCCAACACTGTCGTGGCAATTTTACGGCAGCTCGACTGGTTTCATGCGCCAATTCCCGGCAGCCAAGTGGAAAGCTAAACCAGTCGATTTGTATGATTGCCGACTGCGTTCATGGTATATGGAGGCAGCGACAAGTCCCAAGGACATCATCATTCTATTGGACAGTTCGGGCTCTATGAAAGGACAGAGGCTAGATATCGCAAAGAAAGTTGTTAATACAATACTTGATACGTTGGGTACCAATGACTTTGTGAACATCTTCACCTTTGGTAAAACAGTAGAGCCGGCCGTCAAATGTTTTGAGGAGACACTAGTTCAAGTATTAATTTCTTTTTATTATTACTAATTACGCACATTGTAATATAATCCCTTGTGATATTTTGTTTATTCTTTTTTTATTTTTTTTTTACTACTGTAATTGCTTAAAGTTATATTTTGCACATTATACCAGTAAAGGGAGGTAGTTTCACTCAATATAAATTTGGCGATGAATAATTTTTGACACCCTAACCAAAAAGGAACTGCTCGAAAGGTTTGTGGTTTGGGTCTTCGAACATGGATACATCCCAGTGAACTGGGAGACCGACGAGATAGCCAGTAGGGGAATTGGGATTTGGGCATTCCTCCTTCTTCGACAAGCAACCAAAGAAGATAGTCTTTTACAGTCCAGCTCTCAGCCGATAATTTTTACTTCGATTGGTTTAAAGAACTTGCTTTAGCAAATTTAACGATCTCGAACGCATTTAATGACTTGGAAATCTGTAAAGAAGAGAGCAATGTAAATATTTTCATAAGCCTACCATAGGTATCAAAGCGGTCAAGCAGACCTAAGAGCGCCTGATCGGAGCTTCCTGATCGAACAACCTCATTAATTAACTAATATTTTAAATATTATTTACATTATATATTTTATCCGAAAATATTATTACTTTTGTTTTCTCAATATTTGCTTAGAATAGTGCGTTATGCAATTTTTATAATATAATTACATTTACATTTTTATATTCTTTTTAATAAACTAAACCAATTGAGTCAGAATTTGAGTGAAGCTATCTTCTCTTTTGTATAATGATTCAGCACAAATTCACGCAAAGCAAAATTTAACAAAACAAAACAAAATGAAATAACCGAATTTAATAAAATAAAACAAATGCAAAAAAGCAAAATAAAATGAAATTAATTTAAAATAAACAAAAAACCGTATTAAAATAAATGAAAATAATAATTTAAAAGCTTACAGAAATTAAAAATAATGATAAACAGCAAAATATCAGGTGTACAACCTTGCTTCCGCCGTTTTCCGATAGGTGGCTGTACCGGCTGAGGCTGGTTGAAATACATAGATGATGATGCCTTTAAAGTGAGTGTAGACATTGCCTAACGAATTGTCATCGCCGTTTCAGTGACAGTTGTTCTTGTTTTCGTATTATTCACGCTCGAAAATGTTCGTTTATGTGGCTAATTCTTGCCATTTGCGGGAAGTTTTACTTTTCTGTTACAATTCGAAAACGAAGCAGCTGAAGCGCATCGAATGCTTTCAGAAACTTACGGTGATGCTGCTCTGAGTGAAAAAACGTGTCGGGAGTGGTTTCAACGTTTTAAAAATAGTGATTTCGATGTCGAAGACAAACATGGTGGTGGAAGAGAAAAAAACCTTCAAAGTTTTACTACGAGCTCTTAAAACCGGGTGAAACCATCACAGGAGAACGCTACCGAACGCAACTGATGCGCCTTAGTCGCGCGCTAAAAGAAAAGCGGCCACAATATCAAGAGCGACATGACAAAGTCATCCTCCAACACGACAATGCTCGGCCCCACGTCGCAAAAGTGGTCACAAAGCATCTGGAAACGCTGAAATGGGAAGTCTTGCCCCACCCGCCGTATTCCCCTGATGTCACCCCTTCTGATTTCCACCTATTCCGTTCGATGGTCCACGGCCTGGCAGATCAACATAGCGTCAAAAGAGGACTCATTTTTTCGAGCCGGGATCCGAAAACTGCCGGAAAGATGGGAGAAAGTTGTCACTAGCGAAGGACAATACTTTGAATAATATATCAATAAGCACTTTTTCGCAATAAAGCTTTTAATTTTGGAAAAAAACGGCGGAAGCAAAGTTGTACGCTGATATTATAAAATAAAAGAATAAGCTTAATGAATAAAATTAATTTATTTTAATAAAGAAATAAAATAAAACAAAATGAAATAGAATAAACTAAAATTAAATTAAATAACCAAATTGAATATAATAAAATAATTAAAAAAATAGGTAAACAACAACAGTTGTATGAGCTAATGAATTATTTGCTCTGCGTTTTTTGATTCTTTCCATTTCAATTTTTTAATTTCCCTAATTTTCATTTCATGAACGTACAATACATCATTTTGCATATATTTTTGTGGGCTGTAAATATTATTTAGAAACTAATGTAAATGTATATTTTTTTGTTTTTTTTTAATAATAAGTAGTTCAAGGATTTAAATGCCTTAAAATTTTTGAATATGAGAACATAAAATACCCGAATATTTTCGTAAAGGAACTCTCTCAAGAATTTGAATTTGTAAAAATATGTACATACATACATATAATATTTACTTCTGTGTAAAATATTCTATGGATTGTAATATGCATTAATCCATCCTTGAATTAATAGAAAAACTTTTGCTATTTTTATTTTGTATTAGTAAATTTCAATACAATTAAGATTATTAGCACAATCCCCTCTGTCGCAAACACTTCACACGCGCCACACACTAACTCATATTGAAATCTCATTCCTTCACCGCTCATCAGGCGAATCTTGGCAATATAAGGGAACTCATGGAAGGTGTTGATAATGTAAATATTGGAAATATTGCCAATTTCACCGCTGCACTGACGAAAGCTTTTGAGGTTTTGGAACAATTTCGCACGGAACAACGCGGTGCGCAATGCAATCAGGCCATTATGATCGTAAGTGACGGCGCACCCTTTACGTATGCGGATGTCTTTGAGCAATACAATTGGCGCGATCTACCCTTTAAACCGGTACGTGTATTCACTTATCTCATTGGCAAAGAGGTGGCTGATGTTAAGGATATTAAGTGGATGGCTTGCGCTAATCAAGGTTATTATGTACATTTGAGTGATATGGCCGAGGTCCGTGAAATGGTACTCAATTATATACCTGTAATGGCGAGACCACTTGTTCTAGGCAAAAATGATCATCCAGTTGTATGGACCCAAGTATATGCTGATTTTATTGTAAGTGAGGGATAAAGAAATAGCCAAAAATAAAGCTTAAAATGTTTAATTGAATTTTCCATTATTTCTATTTTTTAAGGATCCAAAAATGTCCGATTGGTTGTGGGAAACGAAACAATGCGATGATCAACGGGAAGATGTTTTAGAATTTCGGCGTGAAGGCTATCGCATGTTGGAACCTAATGAAGTACACAAGCGCATCTATCTGCGCAATAAAGCGGTATTATAATGAGTTTCTCCGTATTAATGACTTATTCTGCTCGCATCGGCAGCAATGAAAAACAATACAAAATTATTTCACGTCTCAAGGCCAGAACTTAGGGCTCGAGATAACTTATTTTTCGAATATGCTTTTTTGGTTAATTTCGAATTCAAACTGATTGAGCGAATCAGTTTTCTCTAAAAAAAATTGATTTCTGCCATTTCCAAGTCATAAATAGGAAAATAGTCCTTTTTAACGAATTCGAAAACCTAGGTACTCTAATTCGCAAGCGAGAGAAAACTTTTCCGCACCGATAAAGTTATACTCGATCAGAGAATAGAAGTTCATCTTAATTTCGAGAAACTATTTAGGTTCAGAGTTTATGAGGCACATAAAAAATAAAATGAAATAAACATATAAGATAACTTTAAACAAAATATATTAAAATGAAAAACTATAAAAAAATTATGTAATGAAATAAAAAAGGACAATAAAAAAATAATTAATAAGAAAATACTATGAAATAAAATAAAACAAGGTAAAAAATAATTAAAAAAAGAAAAAAAAAATATAAAGATGAAAATATAAATAAAAGAAAATAAGAAAAAATATTGGATGAGTGCATAAGTTCGTGCCCGATTCCGCTGGATGCCGTTCGAATCGTTTGATAGTGGCGCTCGTGAAAGAAATATATACATATTATATATCGTTGGAAAGGTGACAGTCCGAGTAAATCAAGCATAAAATAACTTCATTTTGATTTGAGTTGCTTAGTGAAAAGACGCATGGAAGATGGACAACGAAAAAGATCATATGCGTCATATTATGTTATACGAATTCCGCAAAGGAAAAACAGTAGGCGCTGCAACTAAAGATATTCGCGAAGTTTATTTGGACCGTGCTCCAGCACTCCGCACAGTAAAGAAATGGTTCGCGAAATTTCGTTCTGGAGATTTTAACCTCGAAGATCAACCTCGCAGTGGACTGCCTTCTGATGCGCGATTTCTATGAATCAGGCATTCGTAAATTGGTTGAACGTTGGGAGTGGATTGCCGAACATGATGGCGAATACATAATTGATTAATAAAAGCGCTTTCTTCAAAAAATTTCAATTTTAGTTTGCTCTTAAAATCGGACACGAACTTATGCACTCATCCAATAATAATTAATGATGAAAGATAATATAAAACAAAATAAAATAAAAAATTAAAAATTAAATGAAAATTAAAGATGAAATGTGACAAAATCTAGTTAAAAAAATTACAAAAAAATAACACATTAAACGAATCAATTAACTCAAATGACAATGGAGTAATTTTAACAAAAATAAAAGAAATTTACAACATTATATAAAAATAATTAAATAAACTCAATGAATTAGGCGAAGTTAAATAAAATTGAGTCAAATAAAACTCGCTAAAATAAATTAATAGAAATTAAATTGAATCATGTTTACGTGAATAGGAATAGCTACTCTTCGGAGAGAGTTTTACATAGAAATGCTTTACCCTGCTTTTTAGCATTATTACAATATTTGACATCTTCCTGTTGAGTTCGTCTAAATTTATATCCCAAAGGGTAGCTATAACGCCTAAATTGGCGAGTTGAGTTTATTTAAGCTCGAATGTCATGAAGTCTTATTCGTGATTTATAAATGTGTACCTTCTAATTCTAAATCCCAATACTCTTTAAAATTAATATTTTTCTTAAAGGCTTGGAATCAACCCCTGGAGTCGGATACATATCAATTTATGACTACAGTCTCTATGCCTGTTTACGATCGGCGCATGAATGCGGTAAGTTACTTCTTATGAATATTTATATATATATATTCACATATATGTATATATATATGTGATATAAATTATAATTCATTCTGCCAAATTCAATGCGAAAGAATTATTAAAATTTTCATCAAAAAATGTATAAAGAACTAATTATAAACTTTTGATGCACAAAAATGCCAAATGCTAAATGCTTTTATATGATGCCAAATCATATTAATTATATCTAACAATACACTTATACAAAACTGTTTATATGTATATACTACTACATAACATATTATATTATATATTTAACAAATTGTATATACTAATCCAACAAACCCATCAAATATTACACAAACAGAATATCACCGAAGAGGTTTTAATAAATGAGGCGCTGTGGGAATTGCAAACTCGTGAGGTACCTAGAGAGAATACTCGTAAAAACTCATAAAACTGTGATTTCGCGTAGTCAGAAATCCGTTGCTAAGTTCCTTAGCGTACTTACTTAAATATTGTTGTTACATTTTACATACATAAATACATTTAATAAACATTTTTTTTTTTAATTGCGTAAATTTATTAAATATTAATTAAAAACATACTCTTATACATATGCATAGTTAGTGAAATTTTGGTAAATAATTGTCTTCAACACTACCAAAACACTATGAATACATAAATATACCTACACAAATACAGTACATGCTCAAGAACATAACAGTCATACATATGTAGTAAACAAAAAACAGTTTGATATTGTATAGGTGCATACGCTATGCAACAAATTAATTAACACCCAACGCACAGTGTTTGAAAATATTTGTGAAAAAAATTGCAACTTGCAGTTTGGACCTTGGTAATGCTAAAATTGACGGTAATTTTAACAATTTTATTTATTTTGCGTACACTCGAGCCTCAAATTAAAGAGAAAATATGTTATATACAAATATCATCTAGACAAGACCTTTCAAAGTATTGTAGAATTGGATGAAAATTATAATGAAGAACATTGTACGTTATTATGCATTTCTCATAGGAACCCTTCTCTCTATTGGCAAAATATTGGGGCAATCGATTTTCACAGACTTCTCTCGATGACAATTTTTCGCAAGTCATATCATTCGCCATAGAAATATGAGATAGGCGGATGCATAAGAGCCTCCCAACCAAGCTCTCGAAGCTTCGGGAAAGTCATTATCGACGTTTGTGGTCTGGCGTTTTCCTGTTGTTCAGGTCCGAATTAAGACTTTGGCCAATCCCACCAAGCACAATACAAAACCTTCCTGGTCTGCTTAATTGGGTTCTGTGTTAAATTTTTTGACGATTAAAAAAAAATTTATTAAAAGGGAAAATTAAAACAAAAAACATTAATTAGAAAGGGGTGTTAATAATTTGACTGCACAGCGCATATGCATGTTCTGGTAAATTAGGTGTGAAAAAAATACGTAAAAAATAGCAAAAATATTTATAAACAAATAATTCAAAGTAAATTTTGTAAGAGTATTAAAAATAATCATTAAATTAGATTAATATGATTTATAAAATTTCCAGTATTAATTTTGACAGAATTATTTACCAGGTACATGGCTGAACAAGAGTATAAGGGCTGGTATGAAATATGTTGATTTTTTTTTTCGAAAATGCTTTAGCAGCTTGTGCATAATAAATTATTTATTAAATTCTTTATTTAAATTATGGAATCTGAAATTTCTTTTCCAATAATCCGATAATTTGAAGGAGCATCTGCCTTATACTTTCTGATCAAGCCTTGTAACTTCTTAGGTGGTATCTACATACAAACGTAAATATGTATTGCCGCATATTCTTATATATTTACTTAAACAAAAAAAAATGAATGTATTTAGTTATGTAGAGTTTATTATAATAATTTGATTTAATAGACAAAGTAGAATTACCGTTTTTGTAACGACTATAGGAAACTTGGTGACTAAATATTTCACTGATATTATTTCTGTATTGTTATGCTGCAGACCATAACCATTTAGACGCTTCCCTTCCGCTCCATCCTGATGATATTTCAATCCTGAATCAATCGTTTCAATGAACTCACCAAAAGCTTCAACTCAAACCCTGTGCAATTATGTACCAAATAGTATATCGAGTACTATTTAATATTGTGTAAAATCAGCAAATAGTTTTCTAGTTTATATAACTTATAAATAATTTAAGTTGCACTGTTAGTTCTATCGAATTGTCATTATGTTGAAGACATGTGATATTCAAATACGATATACAAACGAGTACATAGTTTATAATTATTAGAGAATTTAAGGTATTTTTGAGCATTTTTAGAGTATGTTAGAAGTCAATATAGACTTTTTCATTCGTTATTTCTGTTTTTCTTTTGGTTTTCTTTAAAATTAAATGACACTTACTTTATTATTTGTTTAATACATTTTAATAGAGATACTGTTATTGTGTCAGTAAAATATTGTAATGCGGATTTATCGCTTTTGACATAGTATGTAGTAACGGGAACTTTCAAATATGTATATACATAAGTAGCTATATAGCAAATATGTATGTATGTATTTACTAATGAATTATATAACTTTGATGAAATGTGGAAAACCTACGAATATGATGCAAACAAGGAGGTAGTTTCACTCAATACAGAACTGACACTAAATGATTTATGGATAGCAAATCATACTCTCGTTTCACTTTCATAAAATAGCAAATTTGAAAAGCCATTGATTTTGGAAAATAAAATTCAAAGCATTTGTATTTTTTGAGAATACGTTTTCATCTTCATCTTTTGTTGTTTACAATGAAATATTTTCCATTTTTTATAATATAATTCAATGTGAATTTAACAAGGTGTAGTTACTACGGCAAAGAATTAAAGTTATTTCATTCATTGAATTTAATAATCGTAAAATTAATTGTTGGTTACGATCAATGCAAATTTACACACGGTAGTAGCAAGTAGAAAATTAGTTTAAATAAAAAATTAACGCCAAAACCACAAATAGGAGGAGGAGCTCGGCGGAAAATCGCTTCAGCGGTTACAAAGCGCCAATTATAAGTAGCAGGAATACAAAAACAAAAGCGTATGTTGAAATGGAAGGAAGAACAAGCAGTCATAGATGTGACAACTTCACCTTCTATAAACTCGCCTTGGTTACGATAAAAACAATTTTCCGGAAGAATACATAAATTATACTTTTAGCTTTACGTAATACCAAAACTTCAAGTTTTTCAACCAAAAAACTTGTCATTTAATTTATGAAAGATACGAATGTTTATATTGAGTGCATAAGTCCGTGCCCGATTTCAAGTGCAAACTAAAATTGAAATTTTTTGAAGAAAGCGCTTTTATTAATCAATTATGTATTCGCCATCATGTTCGGAAATCCACTCCCAACGTTCAACCAATTTACGGATGCCTGATTTATAGAAATCGCGCGGTTTCTCGTTGAAAAAGGTGTCAAGGTGGTTTTTGNTCACCTTTCCAACGATATATAATATGTATATATTTCTTTCACGAGCGCCACTCTCAAACGATTCGAACGGCATCCAGCGGAATCGGGCACGAACTTATGCACTCATCCAATATTTTTATAATATTTTATTATTCAACATTCATTTAAGTCAGTTTGAAGCTCATAAAAAGTTAATGAAACTACTTTCTTTTCCTGCATCATGGAAAGGTCCTTAAGGATAAATTTAAATTTAACAAAATAGCAAAAAAATAATAATAATAATAATTGGAAAAATATCCAAATTAAATGCCTGTTAAAGTGGTTTCTAAAAGAAAAGTTCAACAGGGTCCAACTACATTTCTCCAAAGGTACTTTGTTGTGTATTTGTATCTTTAGAAGACATATTTATAGTACATATATACGCCTATTTAAAATACGTATGTAGATTAGAAAGTTACATAGACATCCCGGTTGTCATTCTTATAAATAGTTTGAGTAGGAAAGCACAATTTTGTTCAATTTAAATAATATTTCAAAATAATGTATCTTTAGACCAAAATTGCAAATCTTCTGGGTGTTGCCGGCACGGATGTACCTATCAGGGATATCAAACGAATGCTATCTCCATTTTTGGTAAGTATGTTTGTAGGCATATTTTGATGAATATTACAATATGAACATTAATAAAGTACTGGCAAATCTATGAGGACAATTTTTTTTAGTTATTAATATTTTTCATTCAATTTTATTTATTAATATTTTCAAAAGAATATATATATTTTTTTACATATAAAATAGTCACAAATAAATGTTTATTTAATTACAGCTTGGCGTTAACGGTTATGCATTTATTGTAACCAATAACGGTTACATACTATTCCATCCAGATTTTCGTCCAATTGTAAGTTATATGATTACGGTATATGTATTCTTATATATAATATGAAGAATAAACAACCTTTAACTACTTCTTTTTGTTCTTCTAGTTTCAAGGCAATATTTTAAAGCCCGCTTACAATAGTGTGGATATGATCGAAGTCGAATTATTGGACGATGATCGAGCAGCGAGAGATTTTAATCCTGTACTACTAACGGTAAAAAATCCATTTTTTTTTTTTGCTTATAAACTAAGCTAATTCTCTGCTTCTCTCCAACAACCATAGATACGCGATTCGATAATAAATCAATCGACGGGTAGTAAATGGATGCTGGTGAAAAATCATTTTGACGAAATGGTAAAAAAATACTAAGGAATCAACTAACTAGGCGTGTTCTTATAATACAATATACATATTTTTGGTTATTTTAGAAACGAGTTGCTCGTATTAAACGTCAATATTATTGGCGAGCGATACCAAATACACCATTTACGCTAGTCATTACATATCCCGAGCAATATGGTGTACATCGCTTGGCCATTCGAGCCGAAAATGAGATTCACCGCATGAATATTAAAGGTGAAAACTTATTAAACTATTTTGGTGGCAAACGTTGGCGTATTCATCCAACTTGGTAAGGAAGTTACTCTCTTATAATCTTTTATCATTGTATGTATAACGGTATATGTATATAGTTGATTGGTGGGAGTATATCGTATAAATAAATCTAATCTCAAAGCAATATCTTAATAATTGCAAGGTTTTACCACCAGAATGGTGACTAAAATATTTGACAACTTAAGCCAAATACCAAGCGTATCCAGGTCTATATCCACATAATCTTTCCTCATCCTCTGCCTCCCTTGGAGCTTACTGTATTGAAAACTTTCAGAGCTGCAGTATTCTTATTCATCCAGACCACATGACTTAGAAAGTATAGCCACTGTCGTTTCATTCGCTGAATTATGTCAATCCCGCTGTTCTCAGACGACCATATATTTTATGCAAAATCTTTCTCTCGAAAACTCCTAACGCCGACTCATCAGATGTTGTCTGCGCGGCAAAGTTTTCAATTGCCTCCTCAGTTCAAAGTAGCATCTGTTGCCAAGAGTCATGCCTCGTTGAATAGTTATTAATCGTGTTAATACTGGTTCGATGGTAGACGAAATTATCTTCGGCTTCTAAGTTATGACTGTCAAAAATAACGTAGGAGCCGAGTACCATATACAAGTGTTTATTTGATAACAGGAGATATTTCGCCCTACCCTCGTTCACTTCCAGACCAATTCGCTACGCTTCTTTATCGAGTCTGTAGAAACGCAACTCACGGCGCGGTTCTTAAGGCCAATGATGTCAATATCATCAGTGTACGCCTGTAGCTGTACACTCTTAAAAAAGATTTTACATCTCTATTCAGCTCTCCGATTCGTATTAAATCTTATTTTAGGTTCTTACCGATCCTGGCGCAGGCTGTCGCAGGAGCTGTCGTCAAAGGATGCTTTAAAATCGACAAATAGGTAGTGAGTGGTGAATTTAACGGGACTAAAGCCACACTGATAAGATTCAATCCGTTAGTTTGTGGTGGGTTTTAGTCTTTCATACAGTAGGTCTCCATAGGTGATATTTAGAAGGCTTATCCGAAGTAATCGGTCCAGACCTTGGGGGACAGCATTTTTATGGATTGTGCAAAGCACAATGCTTTCATCCGACCATATTCTGCAAAGAAGCTTATGCATGAACCTTGCCAGTTCAACGCCGCCGTATTTAAATAGCTCGACCTGCAATCCATCAGCTATTTATTTAAACTTAGTTTTGCTAATAAAGGCATACAGGCCCCTTGAATAGTACTAGTCGACTTAATAATCAAAGAAAAAGCTTAATTTCTAAATAAAGTCGTATATTCATATTATCTTTATCATTTTCTTTCACGCCTAGGTTGTATTGTAAACATAACAACAAGACATTTGCAACACCAGAAGAAGAGTTAGTCTGGTTTTTGAATAAAATGTCACAACCTGGTTGGAGATGGCCACTAAGTAGAAGTGCGTTGCCACCAGAGCACGCAGCGCTAATGTTTTGTAAGTATCTTTAAAAAAAAAAACAACTATAATACTGTTAACCAATTACAAAAAGTTAGAACTATTCTCAGAGGCGCTGCCTTCTTAATATAAGTACATAAAAAATATTCAAATATTTACTCAGCAGATCATTGGTTTCGAATTGAATTTGCATTTTCGGTTGATAGTTTGTAGTTTATGGGTTAAAGCGACTGAATGAATTTATACATAACTAGGCTTATCCATCTCATAATTAAAAAATATGTTTCTAATTCACGTGTTTATAGTTCACATTCAGAGACCGTTAAACCATAAACATTAATAGTTATTACTTACCGTTTAAAAAATAACGATCTTAGCTATATCAAAATTTATTTATTATAACTTTTATTTTTATTTTTTTGTGAATAGTGCAATAAATTTACAAAACATTCTCTATGCTGCCTTGAAATTGTGTACAAGGCGGCGTTACTGGTTCATAGTGTCATCCGTAATATCTGCACCGTTGTAAAAATCTATTTATATTAGGAAAAAGTGATTTGGTCAAAATTTATTTCATCCTTGGACAGAGAATCCTAGCAGTTCCCCGTTTTTTAATAACATTGCATTTAAATAAAGAGAGAATTCTTTAATCGATCGTTTATTACTCCATTACAAACGAAAATATGATATAACAAATATTTACTTACTTACTTAGTTCCACGTTATCTGTACTCATCCGCAAAGTCTATAGAGATTATTAAATTATCTTCTACCAACTTGAAACTTTACATCATTCCACAAGTTCTTGAGCTTTTCCCTCTACTCTCCTAAATATCGCATATAAAGTTGTATCGACTGTATTGCACTAAAGACAGTATGGTTTTACACCTGGTAAATCCATCATGATCAGATATTCCCCATACTCACTTCGACAGCACAATAACGAGCTGCCTCTAGGTTTTGTCGTTCATATGTATGAGAGCACTCTATGTCTGAATCGCTTGTCCATTTATTATTATTATTTTTTTCTCAAACGTTACAAGCACACACATGTACGTATTATTAAAGACAATGATTTTATAGCCTGGAATATAATTTAGCCAGTAATAAATTAACTACCACAGTGGATAATGAAATGAGTGAGGTTAGGAGTTCGATATAAGTAGCCTTAATTTATAAGAAGAATTCACTAAAGTTTCGTCAAAGAGTTTTTATTTGATTATCTTTATATGCATACTTTGACACTTTGTCTCCCATGTTTCATCGCTGGTTAGGGTCGCTGGAAGCCACTCTGTACTTATGGGTGTTTAGATAAATGTATGCAAACATAAACATACATATATACATACATACAAACAAACATTAAAATTTCATGTTAAATTTTTTATTTACAAAAAAAAAAAAATATCATAATGATCATAATTTTTGTATGTATGTAAATGCAAATCCACAGCTAACACATCTACCGGGCGCATACCATCCATAAACGATAAAGAAAGTTACTATTGTGAGTAAAATTGAGTTTCGATTACATTTATTTTTGCAATTGCTCGTAAAATGAAAATAAAAATAATTGTTTTGATTTTTGATTATCGTAAATTTCACCGAGAAGCACTCACAAATTTAAATACGTATACATACATATATGTATATTCATATTTATTGTAAACCTTATGACACCTTCACGTGCATTTTCACTGAAGCACTTTTTCCATACCACATTTGTACTTAGTAATTTTTTAACTAATTTATAGTACTTTTAGTTTAGTTTAGTTAGTTTCTGTACCCATACATAAATATGTATTAACGAACTCTTGTACTAACATAGCTTAAACTAATTATTATTCACCTATTTCAGTTTCTCAATAAAACACTTGCCCTCCAAAAAGTAGCATTTAAAACTAAAATCAAATTTTTTACCCAAACTATTTAGCTTCCCATGTTTACAACTGGGCTTTTTATTACGGTGATTCGCTAAGAAATGTCAATTCTAAGGCTACGCATCAGCTTTGTACTGCTGAAATACTGGTTCATTTATGCATTTTGACTTTCCACTATGCAAAGTTAATAAAATTATATAAAAACGATTTATTAAGGACTTGAAGTTTGAAACTCAAGCGAGGTTAACACGGGAGCTAAGAATTTGCACAAGATACCAGTGGTGGAAATTATGATTTTCTAAACAAATAAGCAAGCCTGGGGTAGCTATTAGCAAAGGGGTAACCGAGTTTTCGTCCTTTTATATAAAATTTTAGTGACTGATTCCAATGCGGATGAAATTTTGTCGATTTTTATATATAAAACTCAACTAGAAAAAAAAACTAGCAACCATTATCAGAACAGAAATGCTGAAAAGTATTTTTCATGTGACATTCATTTCATAAAATCGAAAATATTGTAAGCAATCCTTCACTTTCATTTAGTAATTTGTCTTGTATTACGTATATGCCTTGTAATTATCTATATTTCAATAAATTAATTTTCAATGATACAGTTGCAACTATATATCTAACATGGATGTTTTGGAATCCAATTTCGATTGGAACCGAAATTGGATCTGATCGGAATTGCATAATTGCATTCAGAAATTCTTTCAAATTTAATTTAACGAAACCTATGTTCGAATTTGATTGTGGCGAATTCGATGTTCTACATTCCGATCTATCGGAGAATTCATATCGAAAAATCCGGCGGGTATTATTTTCCTAAATTGGTTTTTTAAGGGTTTTTATTTTATAGAGCATTAAAATCTAAAAATGTGGTTATAATAATTTCTTTCAAAGTTTATCTTAAATTAAAAAATGTTTTTCTGTCAATAAAACAATAGTTTGACTGATTTTTTTATGTTTGGTGATGAATCGCTTAATAGCATGGAGAACATATTTTTTTTTCTGGGAATTGACTTGACCACGCAAAATTCTCTGTTTTGAATTTTCACTTTTTTATCTCTAATTCCAACGACAATCGCAGCCACGCAACAAGAAGATAAAAATTTAAATATGTAGCTTCGAATCGAATTTGCCTTTTGTTAGATTTTCTCCATTCCGATAGGATTTCGATGCAATTTCCGATCAGATTTCAAAACAGCCTCGTTAATTGCAAGCATTAAAAAATAAAATATTTTGGTACCTGTAGTGTGATATTTTACTCAACTTGTAAATAATTCCGAATAAGTGGCAGCCCAGTGAGTTAGGCTATTTCCAATTAAGCTTTCTTTAGAGATTACCTTAAAATGCAGAACAGTACCACAAGGTGCCGTCAAACGTAGCAATTTAGGTAATGCAAATTGTATGCCAAATTGACAAAATTTGGAAATTCAATTTCAGGAGCAGTCACATTTAGCAAAACAATTTTCATGCAAATTAAATTTAAATTTCTAGAAATTAACTTATCTCACAGTAGATTACCGAAAATCTCCCTTGACAATACTCAAATCCTCTGACAGCAGTTTCAAGAGAAATAAAACTTGCTAGTGCTGCACGAGCAATTGGATTTTATTTTTGTAATTATAAGACACTAAATTACAGACACTAGTTTCACTGTTGTCTCACGTCAAAATTGAAATTTTTTGACAACAAAACGTGTGAAGGAAATAAAAATTGCGTAGAAGTTGCTACATATGACGGCACCATAAATCTTTATAGTCAGACTCGTTTTGCGTAAACTTGCGATCTAACTTGAATTTAAAGCATACAAAGTAACAAAATCAATTCTGAAATTTCCAAACACTTATTCTTTTTTATGCGCACATATACATACGTACGTATATACATAAAGGTCACTTTTCCAAACCATAGAAGACATTATTTATTTATTAATTTTTTATTCTTTAGTGAAATCGAGAAGTTTTTCAAAACCTCATATTGTTAGCTCTGGAGTTGCCAACATATTTTGCATGCCACACATTGTACATTTGTTTTGGATAAGTTTTTGGTCTACACCTACCAGCCATCTTTCTTTCACCTGCACCAAAATCGATTTAATGTTTATAAAACTAGTCCCAAATAAAATCATAAACATACACATATACTTATTTATATATATGTATTCATATTGGTCTAGTAAGAAGTAATAAATTATTTTTGCATTAATTGAAGGAACCCTTGTTCCTATTGGCAAACATTTCTAACAATCAATTTTCACAGGCTTCTCTTGAGGCCAATTCTTCACCAGCCAAATCATTCGCCATAGATAGGAGCAGATGATAATCACTTTGTGGGAGATCCGTAGTAAAAGTTGGCTGCATAAGAAATTTCCAATCAGGCTCTAGAAGCTTCTGGCGAGTCACTGTAGATGTGGGTGCTCTGGCGTTGTCCTGATGAAAACACTTTTCCGGCTGTTGGTGGAAGGTGGGACATATGGGCGATTGCTTCCTTCAGACGGTCCAACTGCTGATAGTACAACTCCATATTAAGAGTTTGGCCGTAGGTAGGCCGCTTATAATGGATTATTCCTTCCCATTACCACCAAACGCGCAACAGAACCTTCCAGGCAGTCAGTCCTTTCTTGGATACCGTTTGTGCCGGCTTACTGCCCTTCGACCGTTATCTTCATTGCTGTAAGTGATCCCCATTTCATCACAAATCACCAAGCCGCTCCAGAAATCGGTCGATTTTGTCACGATTCGCAGATTGAAAATTGCGGTTTTTTCTCGTTAACTCATGGGGCATCATAAGCCATCAATTGCAAAAATTGTGGATTTCTTTTTACCAGACCTAATATATGTATATGATTTTGAGGAAATATAATATTTACTGAATCGGATGTTGACACATATATACTTACATACGTACGATCGTATGTACTTACGTACTAATCTTTGCATATCTCACCAATTTTTATTCACTTTCAATTTGTAAAGGCATAATATGAGTAGTTTTTTTGTTAATAACATAAAATAATCGAATATCACAATTAATATAATCACATTTACATTCGTACATACATACATACATGCATACATACAATATGTTCGTAGCAATATGAGTGATTTATTGAATTCATAAAGTATTCAATAATATTGCTATTAAAATGTTTGTATGTATGTTTTCATTTTTCATTAGCAAAACTAATCAGAATTTATGTGTCGATTTGTTTTCAGGCGACCGCCAACTAATGCAGTCACTCGTTTTCGACGCAAGAGTCACTGAATGGTTTTCGAAAAATACAAGCTTCAATTCCAAAGATGATAAAGGGTAAGACTGCATATTCGCGCTGATGTTATATTATGTACTTCACACAAAAAATGTTTCAATGCCCCAGCGGGTATCCGTCTTGCTTCGGACATAGATTCCACGGACACATTTTGAAATCTTCGCAAAAGTTTTTTTGGGATAAGCTGGGGAGCATGATGAACCTACTCAATAGCGTAGATTCTTGCGATCAGATCCTCAACCCCCCCCCAAAAAGGGGAAAAATAGGTTCGACATATGTTCTTCGACAAGGCGATGAATTTATATCAAAGTCCTTCTTTAAAAATGGTACAAAAAAGTTGAGATTAGATAATTCCATAGAAGGTGGAAGGCATACTGGATCTTAACAAACACCCATCTGCAACTCTTAACAACCTGGATTGCTCGAAATTAAGTGCCTGCTGAATGGATGAACCTGTGGAACCTATGTAGCGATATCCATAACCAGACTTCTATTCCACTTTACTTTATATTATTCAAAAGTCAAGGGTAGTTTCGATATATTGGGACATAGGGCGTTGACAATTTTTCTGAACAGCTTGTAACTAATTAATTGTATTTTGCTTTTAACAGTAATAAACTGTTACTTAGAAAAAAAAGTACGCGTAATTTATATTTGTTTGTTTGGCGTCAATTTTAATATGGAACCCACAAAAGAACATTTTCGTTTCAACGCTTGTGGAATGCACCTTAAACGCATGAATGTGATATGTTTTTGAAACAAATCATGACTGAAGATGAAAAATGGATTGTTTACAATAACGTTAATCGAAAAAGATCTTAGTCCAAACATAATGAAGAGCCAAAAACTACTTCAAAGTCTAATATTAGGCAAAAGAGGCATAAAGCTGTCAATTTGGTAGGATTGGAAGGGTGTGGTATATTTTAAGCTACTTCCAAAGAACCAAACGATTAATTCGGATGTCTGCTGTGAACAAGTGGACAAATTGAATACATCATTCAACGAGAAACGGCGAGAATTGGTCAATCGTAAAGGTGTCATATTCCACCAGGACAATGCTAGTCGCACCTCGCCAAAAACTGAAAGAGCTTGGCCTGGAATTGTTGATGCATCCACCATAAAGCCCTGCTCTTGCACCGTCAGCCTACTATTTGTTTCGATCTTTTCAGAACTCATTAAATGGTAAAACTTTCGAAAATGACGAGGCTGTAAAATCGCACTTTTTGCAGGTAAAGGTCAGAAGTTCTATGAGCGTGGAACAATGATGTTGCCGGAAAGATGGCGAAAGGCCATCCAACATTATTGATTAAAGTTCATTATATAATTTAAAAAACTGCAACCCTTAATCAGCTTTTTAGGGCTTTTCTGGTAAGCATTTGTTTGCGCTTAAAGTCAACTATAAGTCAATGTTTACTACAGTGCGCCGTAAAATCTGGGTGGTGGATGGCTATACTGTCAATAAATATTGACGGAGTAACTTATTCAATCACACTCGTACGTCAATACAGGATGTTTTGTATAAATTATAAAAAAATTAATACAAATTATGCATTTAATCGTGAAGAAATTAACCAATTCCTTGAGATGAAATTACCATATGGAATTAAAAGAAATACTGCTTCTAGAGCAGACGAAGTTCTTGCGTCGAAGAATATACATATGTATATGTATGTGGTACTTGTATAGTACTTTCGAACCGCTGAAACGATTTCCTGCCTGGTAGTTTATTTTAAGCCCTCCGAAGGGCCTAGAGAGACCTTAACAACGAGTGGAAAAATTAACATTCTGTAATTGTGAATGTTCATCGGAACAGGACTCGAAGTCATGCTAACCACTCGGCTACTGTAACCATCACCGAAGTACTGACGTAATAAATACTGAACGTGTGGCATTCGTTTGCGGTTCATCAGTCCATCGATGTACATAAAAGGACGGCGATCCAAATATCGTGAAAAATATTGACCGTTTGGCAGACGCTAAAGAGCTTCGCTAAACTAATCGGTATTCCTTTATTGCTTCTCGTCACACGAGCTCTCTGTGTCGTAAGCACTAATTCAGTAAAGAAGTCAAATTTATTATTTCTGTACACATAGTTCCCATACATAACTTTTAATTTTCAGAAGAAAAAAAGTAATACTATTGATGAGTGCATAAGTTCGTGCCCGATTTTAAGTGCAAACTAAAATAGAAATTTTTTGAAAAAAGCGCTATTATTAATCAATTATGTATTCGCCATCATGTTTGGCAATCCACTCCCAACGTTCAACTAATTTACGGATGCCTGATTCATAGAAATCGCGCGGTTTCTCGTTGAAAAAGGTGTCAAGGTGGTTTTTGACGTCTTCCACATTTTTAAATTTTTTTCCATTCAAATTGTTCTGCAGCGATCGAAACAAATGATAATCAGAAGGTGCAATGTCGGGTGAATATGGGGGATGCGGCATGATTTCCCAATTCATCTCCTTCAGTTTGGCCAGGGTCGGTTTTGCAACATGTGGCCTGGCGTTGTCATGATGGAAAAGAACTCCTTTGCGATTGGCCAAAATCGGACGTTTTTCATCAATTGCTTTCTTCAGTTCGACCAATTGCTGACAATACTTGTTGGCAGTGATCGTTTCTCCAGCTGGCAAGGGCTCAAAATATATCACGCCTCGGATATCCCACCAAATGCACAGCAGTACCTTCATCGGATGCAATCCACCTTCGTGTGCCTGTTTCCATGTTCTTTTGCGTTGAACATTGTTGTACAGGATCCATTTTTCATCACCAGTCACGAGCCGATCCAAAAAAGGTTCGTTTTTGATCCGTCGAAGCAAAGAAATTACTGTTGACATACGGTCCACTTTGTTTTTTTTTTCACTCAACCGATGTGGCATCCATGTATCGAGCTTCAAAGTGTACCCAACCTTTTTTAAACGACGAAACGCGGTTGATTTGTTGACGTTCAATTCACTGGCAACCTCTTCCGTCGAAATACGTGAGTTATTAACATTAAAGTCAGAACATCGTCATCAAGCTCAGAAAGCCGTCCACTGCGAGGTCTCCAGAACGAAATTTCGCGAACCATTTCTTCACTTTTCACTAAGCAACTCAAATCGAAATGAAGTTATTTTATGCTTGACTTACAGTTCGGACTGTCTCCTTTCCAACGATATATAATATGTATATATTTCTTTCACGAGCGCCACTCTCAAACGATTCGAACGGCATTCAGCGGAATCGGGCACGAACTTATGCACTCATACAATACAATTTATCAAATGTAAAAAAAAAAATTTTTGGCAATATTATTAAATGACAACTGTAAAAAGTATTAGTTAATTTTGCGGAAAACTAAGGTTTGATTGGACCATGGTTGATTTTGCTCTGTTCTTAAAGACAAGGTTAAATACTTTTTATATGAGTAAATAAGTATAAACTAAGAGATTTTACAGATACAGATAAAGATTTTAAGAGAGCCGTTGAGCAGGTTGTATGAGCAACATTTTTGAAAAGAAGGTATGGATTCGGCCGCCGAAAGGTATCGGGCTCACCATTTCAAATACCGATACTTTGGAACCAATGTTGTTTGCTACTTTCAATAATACATTATTGGAATAAGCTCCGTATTTTGTTAATTTTTGAGTGAAATCATGAAAAGAAAGTGATTTTTTGTATACAAATACCGGTTTTTAATTTTTTTCAATATGGGGATCGTTTTTGAAAATTTGTAATACTCATGAATCCATAGAAAATTGTATAAGGAATCTGAAAAAATGTAGTTTCATTATAGTACCAGAAGCGTAACATTTAACAAAATTCAATGAAATAGAATGTAACCACTCTCCTAATCTTTTCTAAGATGCTACTTTTATTATCTCGAACATATCCGAAAATTTGATAAAACGCTTCACAAAGTGCGGAGAAAGAAAATCTTTCTTGAAGTAGAGAAAATTATGATTTGTTCGAAAACGGTAATAAATAAATTATCTTAAACTGGTAGAATCGAAGTTTCTTATTAGTACCAGCATTTCCAAAGGTCGATTCACTAGACTTATCGTCCTACAAAAAAATTGTCTGCATTAAAAAATTAATATGAATATCTGCATATTAGAATGTAGAGCCTCCACTACTCTTGTGTCAATATAAAGTTATTATTTTTATTTCAATAGTTACTAAGTTGTTCGTTTATTGAAATTAGCAAATTCATACATACATATGTAAAATTTAACCAAATACTTTAATCCATACACGCACGGATTTTCAAAAACATTATAGTTTAAATTATTGCTCTTTTTCTTTGAAAAAATATCTTTCCTCTATTTTCTACGTTATTGTCTTTCTCATTTATTTATGCACATTTCTTCTACCACCTTATGCGAGTATGTGTTTGCAATGCAATGTGTGTTTGTTAAAAATAAAATGAATTATTAAAATTTTCTTGGATTAGCACGAGCGCTTCAAGCCCAATAGCCGTTCTAATGGGTTTGTTGCCAAGGTAACATATTAATTTACGCATCTACATACATACATACATATGTATTTATGTATATATAGCAATGTATACGTACTAAACAATTTTCAATTATTTTTTCAATGGTATATTTTTTTATAATTAAATATTGAGAATTTTCTGACAAATTATTTCCATTTCACAGAAATGAATTCAAGCAACGTTTTGGCATAACCGTCGCATTTTTGGCAACGCACAGCGGTCTAACACGGTGGCAGGAGTTTCACTCCAATATGGCTGAGGAAGCTGGCGCTGGGTAAGATAAATTACACACTAGAACAAGAAAGAGAAACTATCTTCGGCTGAACAAAAATCTTTATACCTTACATGGCCCTATCAAATTTATGGTATTTTATTTCAAGATTAAATATTTCATCTCATATCTAACTTAGGGATTAGTTTGCGTATAAATAGACGAACAGACAGGCATGACTAAATGAACTCTGCCTGTGAAAAACTTAAATTCTTATACTAAATTCAAAATTTTCTTCTTATCTCTAGCGAAGTATTCAGCGAGCAAAATAAACGTGCCATTGACGAGATGTGGTACAAGCGAGCGGTTGATCAACATTTCGTGCACAAAGACAGTTTCGTGTACTCAGTGCCGTTCGATGCTGGAGGTACATATATATAGAACTAGGAAACATATTTCCTTGAATTTACAATTATTAATGGATTTACTTTTTTTTACACTTTTCATTTACAGATCTAGGTGAGGAAATCACGGTAACTGCAAGTAATGCAGTATTCCACACGGAGAGCGCAAAATCAGCACCAGCAGCCGTTGTAGGATTTCAGTTTCATCACTCAGCGCTTGATAAACTATTCCGCAATATAACTGGCAATGTAAGCGGAACTTACTTTAATATATTCAATTTCGATCATTTTAAATTAACAATATTTATTTGATTTTACGAGTGCAGAACACCAAAGTTCAAAACCTCATATCTGAATGAATGACTCGGTTGTATGGGAGCTATACGATATAGTCTTCCTAATTCAATGCTTTCGATTTAATAATACCCAATTTCATGCTCTTATATACTTTTTGACGGATTTTCGCACAAAGCCTCATATCTGCTGGAGCTTTCTGTTTTAGTATTCCGATTTGCATAATTTTCAGTACCAATTCATGAGCTATGAATTATATGTATAGAACACCAAATTCCACGATTTTAGATGCATTTTTGATGACCCAAAATCTCAAATTTGAAAACCCGGTCTTGTATAGTATTCCATTATTTTTGATGAAAAGTGGATTACTCACTGCAAAGACAAATGAAAATCATTGTGGCCGAAGCGCAGTGAGCCAGCACAAACGGTCTCCATGCCAGCGTTGACCGCCAGAAAGGTTTTGTTATGTGTTTGGTGGTATTGACATGTATTGCTAATCAACTCAACCAGGGACTTAGATCGTATCGGTATAAAATTGGATGGGCCCAATTCTTCACTGTTTGGTATTTAATTAATATTAATTTTCTATAATTTTTAATGCTGATTGGGCCAAGACTCGAAACCATTACCATGCGCATAGTAGTACGCACTGCCAGCTAATAGCCTCATATTTTAATAATCCTTTAATTAAATGTTTTAAAATATTCTCTCGCTCCTGCTGTAGGGTTGTGCTGTGGAGGATCGAGAATGTTATGTTATTGATAACAACGGTTTTATAATTATCTCTCCGTATCGTCAAGAGATCGGCAAATTCTTTGGTGAGATCAACGGTGGTATTATGCTGCGTTTGGTAGAGGAAAAAGTCTTTAAACAGGTCGTCGTATATGATTATCAAGCTGTTTGTTTTGAGTCCAGCGGTGATATGAATGCATCGAATAGTTTATTATCGGTAAGTGAACTTCAACTCTTCTAACTGAAACTAAACTATCTAATATGTTATAACGATGACAACTTTCCTTCCCTTCAGCCACTCTTCCATGTGTTACGCGCACTCAAATGGCTGCTGCATACAGCGTTGTGGTATATTGTACAATTCACCAATACGGCCATTGCCGAATTTATTGATCCATATATTGATGAAGATATGAGCGACTATCCAGCCAGTACGAAAACTACCGATTGGCTACGTTTGGTGACGTTGCATCGAACGCGCTTGAAATCGTGCGATATGCAGCGCGTTCTATATCTTATGTACAATGAGAAGGATAATGTGGCTTTCAATATGACAGCCCATGTATGCGAGCGGCCATTTGTTGTGCTCCCAATACCGAATAGTAATATGATATTGTTGGTAATCGACCAGCGTTGTCCGCGAGACCCCTCAATACAGCTATCCGTGAATCCGGCTGATATTCATTATCCGCTTGATAAAAATCAAACATTTGCTTGCTATAAGAATGATCGAGAGTTCTCAAGAGTGCGTCCAGTTAGTTGCATAAACCGACACATAAATGTAAGTGGTGTTTGTAAGAGACAATTATATAAATAAATTCTTGATTCTCTCTCATATTTTCACAATAGGAAAGTTCAATCGAGTTATGCGGCAAGGCGGGAAGCATATATATCAACGTGATCCTGCTGATGCTTGGCCTCTCTTTATGCCGATATCTGTAACACTAGTGCATTTTTATTTAAATGAAATTCCTGTATATTATTATTATATTTTTATTCTCCATTTAGCTATTTTTAACTAGATATCGCTTTAAGTGCTATAATTAAATTAATAACGTTATAGACTTGTGTGTTGTATGTGAGTAAGTTTTCGTACTAAAAAGCGTGAAAGGAATTTAAAATTTAACACAACAGTATGCATACATGATTTATCAGTGTTATAAGCGTAGTTTGTCTTTAGAAAACTCAGACCATAATGCGAAAAAGCTACACAATATTAAGAACAAAAAAAAAAAAAAAGAAACAAGCAAACAGAAATTGTTTAATAGAAAGAAATAGAAAAAATCATTTCTAATTTTTCAGTAGATTCCGCTTCAAAATTTCCAAAATTTCTAAATTAAAAAGAAATCCGCATATTTTCTATTCGAATTTAAGACAACGGGAATTTTAATAAAAAAAAATGTTAAGTTTTTATTTAGTTTAGTACGATCTAGAACTCTCATACGCAAAACCTGAAGGCAGGCAAATGCTTAACTATACAAGAACTCATAAATTCAGCTTGTAAAACTTATCAGTTAATGCTTATTTATATATGCAAATATGAATGCTTATGAGTTTCGTGAACATTTATCTTTTTAATGGTCTAAATTAGCTAACAACAAATTTTCTTTTGTCCGATTGATTTCAGATGATTTTCTTTCTTTCGTACCTGGTTCAAACTAAAGATACATAATTTATTTTTTTCCATTTTTGCATTTATATATATAGATATATATATATATATAGTACATACCCCTGACTATCTCTAACGCCCTAAGGAGTTAAATGGGTTTCATATTTTCAAAAAGTCGAATTTTGTTGTATTGTTTCTAATAATTAATTTCTACATCTCGAAAATATTATTCAAATTTTCAAGTCCATCCGAATAAAGGTTGCGGAGGAGCAGCGCTTTATACCTTAAACACTAGTCTCTCAAAACTGTGTGTTTCAAAACCGGTTCTCAAAACTTCTTGAAAACTAATCAAGCGATCTAAATGAGATTTCACACTAGTTTTCTAAATATAATTTATGAGTAATTGGACCAAAGCTTGTTTTTTTTTTCAATCGCTACCATTAAAGAATAAGATGTTGAGCAAATTTTGCCAAAATTTTCATTTTATTTATCTGTAAAAATCCGAATTTCACTTTTTTATTTGCATTCGTCCAAATTCTTGTTGATGGTCAGCACCTTTGTTGGCGGAGTAGTTATAAATATTTTTATTTCAAATTTTCAAAAGTTCCCTTTAAAAAATGTATAAACATAACACAGCAAATAGTTTGAATAAAACTTCCAGGCTACGTATACCTAAGCTTATAAATATCAATCAAATTTTTGTCACACAATTAAAATAGAGATACAATAAGATCCACCCTACCCAAGGCATTCCAGAACCAGCCAGATTGGCATGCACTGCGACCAAACAGATGAGACCAAATAAAAAATGTCGAGTGCTCGCAAGTAAAATTTCAACATACGTACATATGTTTACAACATTTGATTAGTAATTCACCAGCCGCAAAATTGTCTATATATAAAATCATTCTACTCGCCAAATAACAATGGTTTGAATTGTTGTATTGTAAATCTCCATGCGCTAGTACATACACGTATGTTTACAATTAATATTTAATGACAATAGTTAGTAAGCTAAATTTCTTGTACGTTTACGTCCTTCACACAATTGCATACTAATTTATTGATTTTATAAGAAAATAACATAATTGTGCATCAAATGTACCTTCTTATACAGACCGTTGAAGATTTTCCACAAACATCTTATAATTCACCTACATATATGGACAAGTCATAACTGTTAAAAACGCGCTAAATTTCGAAATGTTACTTGAACTAAATATTAGATTGCCTAAAATAATATTCATACATACATAGCCCACTACTTAAATAACAGTTGAATAGATGAATTAAAATAAAATAAATTAAAGGTAATATTACATATGTATGTAAACAAATAAAAATATAAACCAATACACATATATGTATATATACACTTGTTTATAATTATTAATTAGTCAAATACTTCTAATAATGTGCTAAAGCTTTTATTAACAAGATATTATGATAAATAGCGAATAACGATTTCTTAATTTATTATATTAATAAATTGAAAAAAAGGAAAAATGTAAGAAATTAAAACTGAAATAAAATCAAATATTGTACAACCCAACTATCAGTGTTTTGTATACATATTTATGTACTTATTGCATATGTATATAATTACTACTTTTCGGAAAAATAAATTTATCATCACAATTTGGATAAAAATCCAAAAGATAGAATTTTTTTAATTATAAATATTTCAACAACAAATCAAACTTGAAGATGTTATTATTATCTTAATGTACAAAAATGAATGTTTGTTTGTTAGTGACGCTTAGGCTCGAGAACCCCTGGACTAATCTTAGTGAAATTTTCATCTGAGAAGGTTTAGAAATAAAAAATCCCCTAACTTTTCCCAAGGTAAAGTAGGAAAATTGGAAAATTTCAAAAAGTGGCTTTGGTAAACATTATTTTTCAATTTTTTTTTAATTTGTTTATTTTTTTTTTTAAATATAATATCAGAAAGAAGAAAAACAAATAAAAGAAATATATATATAAAAGATGGTTAAAAAAAGATTTTCAATGCGACAATCAATAGGTCGCAAAAACAGTCGCTGGAAGTGTGTGCCTTAAAACTGGAAATGCCATGTTTTTCACACGGCCAGCTACACGTGGCGTGTTCACGAGTTGCAAAACCATCTTCTCTGTACATTTACGCTCCGGAACAGAAAACAAGAAATGTTGTAATGTAGACAAATCATAAATAAATAAATGGTTTTCAACACAATATAAATTCAACGTTCTTTTCTTCTCAAAAATCATAGTTTCACGCAGGACAACTAGAGCCTAGTTGTATATGTTTTTAGAGTAGAAATTAAGTTGACGCTTTTCATCGTTTTTCATCGCGGCTTAACCCTACCAGTCTATAAGACTATAACTGTAATTAAGAAATCGAAAACCAATTAAATGTTTTTTTTACACATTTATTTGAATAGGTATTACATTTAAGTTCGCTTTTTATATGGATGCATGAAATCTTAACGGTACACATTTTTATCTTTTATAACGATTAAATTTATTAGTATATGTGGATGTACATATGTATATGTAAGTATGTGTGGTTACAGTAGACGAATGAAAATTTAGTAAATGTGAATGTTAAATGTTTATATTATATACCAATAATATTTATATATGTTTAAGTACTTTTTAGCCTTAACAGTATAATAAAAGGAAGAGCTGTTATGTTTGCAAGACATATGTACATATGTATGCATGTATGTACATATGTGAAAATACCTAATTTTATGAATACTTATAGGAATAATTAATTAGTACCTTTTAGAAGCAATGAAAAAATTTATATAGTATGGCTAGTTCGTTGCATGAGTATATAAAAATATATGAGAAAACATAAAATATATATGTAGTTATTTATATACCAAGGTTGCATCTCGACAATAACTTTTACGTTAAACCAAAAATGTCAGTCAATTCGGTTGAAACTTTTGGAAATGTTATCTTTAAAGCAGTTACCAGAATAAATTTAGTTTCGTTTTTACCCGAAACGAAAATGACTCTTTGCTGTTAAATCGACAACATGGAATGTTAGGCGATAAGATTGCTGTTAAATCATAGCAGAGAGCCGTTTTAAAATTAACGTTAACCATGAGTTTGTGTAGTTCCAACATTAACAATTTCATTTCGTTTCGATAACATGGCGGCGAAACGAATCAAAATCATTTCGATAAGTTTATTTTTAATATTATCAAAACACAATGGCATCGTTTTGTTAGTTGAGCATCTCTGGTATATATAATTGGCGTTTGTAGCCGCTGAAGTGATTTTTGGTCGAGCTCCTCTTCCAAGTGGAGTGGCCTTGAGGTTATTCTTAGCCGCATCCGAACGACTGTTGGATTTTTACTCGAAGCCTTTATTTTATTTCCAAAAAACCCTCAGGGACTTGACATTCTCTGCCGAGAGGCGACCGCAATTAGAAAAAAGTAACTTTCTATATAGTTTAAACTAAAAATATTAGATAAATAGAGTACAATTGTATATGGAATACTTTTATCTTAATGCCTTTCAACAAATATTTAGGTGCATATATGTATGTATATATATACCCTGCAGTGCAACTCCAAAATAATATGCAAAATTTTAGTTAAATACCAGTTGAAATCATACCAGCACGATTTTTGTGCGGAATAAACAGATAGCCGAATAAATAGAGGCTATTGCTGTCATGCATGTCTTTCTTCTTTTTTTTTTTTGTTATTTCTCCGAAGTAGAAATTTTACGTACATAAATGACTAATATGAAGCAGATACATAGCATATTGATTTCGTAGGACATCGCCATATTTAAAATAGTAGTCACTAACATGGAAATGGATGGCTGAAATACTAATTAGGGTAAAATTTAAAACTAGTAGCATTCTAGTTGGTAACTAGTATCTTTCCTGCAGGGCTTTCACATGCATGTGTATATAATATAGTCAATAAATTTAAATTCCCTCATCACTATTTTCTTCTGTTTCATCGTCCAGCAATAAACTCGTTGAACCGTAATTACGGAGTCTGTGAATTGAATTAAAAAAAAACATTAGTTTTATGCTCTCAAATGTCAGGAGTTAACATATACTCGTATAAAGAGAAAAATAAAGTAGATTAACTTATAAGTTGGTTTTGTTTTTTATTTGCTTGAATTTAAAAACATCTACTTTCTAGGAAATTGTTATGTGTTAGAAAACAAAGATATTAAAAATACTTCGTGGAACGATACTTACATGCAGATAAAAGGTTAATTTCGTTACCAAAATAATTTAAAAGATTACATAAATAATAAAAATATAAACATGAAATGCACATCGAACACAGATAGTTTAAGGTCATCTTAAGTCCTACCCACAGAGCTTACCTCATCGTCGGACACTTTAAGACCATCTAAGTTAATACTGTTCCTTGCATAACTGCCACCAACACTACCTCCAACGCCACTACCACCACCAGCATCTTTCCTAATGTATTGGCCGGTGCTAGTAGCACTAGCAGTACCACCAATACCAACCACACCTGCTACACCAACACTACCACCACCACCACCACCAGACGTCGAGGAATGCGAATGGTCATCCATATATAACTGACGATTTATCTCATCTTTACTCGCATTAGAATTTGCATTTGTGGTAGTATTCGAATTTGAACTGGCGCTGCCATTGCCACCGGTCAGGCCCAAACCCGAACTGTTGGTCGTTTTTAATGGCAGTGCCAGATTTGAACGATTACCACCAATCTGTTGCTGCTGCTGTTGTTGCTGCTGGCCGCCACCAGCAAACCTACCCGACGAACGCTCACGCTGCTCGCGTTGGTGGTGATGATGTTGGTGCTGTAGATGCGATGGATTATCAAATTTTTGTTTAGCTCGCTCAAATTCCAGATTACGTGATTTCGACTCAAAAATATTTTCCTCCAAATGTGATGGTTTCGCATCGAAAAAAGTGCTCGTCTGTTGCATCAAGGTGCGTTCGGTATGACTTGAACGTTTCGGTATAGCCGAATCGCCACTACCATTTGGCAAGCTACTAGCGGCATTATGGCTATGGCGGCTACCAGCTGGTTGATCGTCGAAAATCTGACGGAGGTCATGTATATTGGGTAAACATTCGCTGGGGATTTCAACAGCGATCTTGTTGCGCAATTGTACACCACCTACGGTACGCATTTGGGGACTTGGTGCGCGTCTTATTTGCCCCGCATACGTATGTATATGTATTTATTTATGATTATTTATTAAATGTATAAGTGTAATTGTCCGATAAAAGTATCCGTTATACCAAGCAGCAATCCGTTAGTTTAATGAAGAGTTAATATGATTTGTTAGCAGTTAAGTGAGAGCGCACCAAGTAACACCAGTATATTTTTGAGCACATACATACATACACATCCAAAAGTATATGTAAGTATAGACAAATTTGACCGTTAAAAGGAGGCTCACCTGGTTTGTAAATGTTGTATTTGCACTTGGAGTCCTTCGGTTTGGCCCACCAATTCGTCATTGGTGCGTTGTAAGCGACGCACCTGATTTACAGCTGAGTCCAATTCGTCCTCAGCGCCGGCCAATTCACGCTTCAACTCTTCTACTCGCTGACGAAGACGTTTTACCTAGAAGTAATGGCAATTAAAGTGATTTGCAAAATGGATTTGTAATAATAGGAAGTTAAAAAGGTAAGACATGCTGAATTTATTATCTTAAATTAATTGATTCATTTTTAAAATGTTCTACGTGAAGATCAATATACTGTTTGCATTTAAGGCCAAGACTGAATGAAGTCTCACAAAATAATGGAATGAAATAGAAATCCGTTAAGGGGTTACATACGTCCAGAATTTTCAAAAAATCTATTTTTTTTTATAGGTTATTATTCTTTATAGTTTTAGGCGTATTTCTGTGAAAGCCGATTGTAAAAATTCCCCATAGATACAAAGTTATGGTAGAAAATCAGCCCGCCCGACGAGAGTTTAATACACACAGGTAGCTGTAACACACACATGACACATGAAAGTTTAAACGCGTTTTTCTCGAAACTACTTTTCCCGGCACGGTCTGCATGATAACTCAAACAGTTTTTAACATTTTTTGATGCGATTTTTTTTTAAATATTCGAAAATGTTTTACTATAACTACAACTTCATTTTACAAGAATTTTTTTTATTTTTACAGATCCATCAACATTCCAAGGATAAATGATGCAGACCGTGGAGCAACTTTTTTTTCATTGTACTTTGGGTCACGTGATATTTTATGTACTAATTTTTGTAAAGAAAAATTAAAATACATTTTTTATAAACTTTAAGTACCAATAAACATTGTATAAAATTTCTTTATATTTATTTCTATTGTTATCCCTTCTGAAAACAGTTTTTGTTTTAGCGCATTTTTGGTGCTGCTGGACGTATGTAACCCCTTAAATGATTTAATCGTAGATTCCTCCCATATTTTACAAAAGCGTGGAGTTATAAGCTTCGAATATTTATCGATATCGATCGAGTGCAAATTTCCCTTGCTGATAAGCGATAATGAAAGCGCTAAGCAGAAAAGAGCGGAGAGAAAAAGATCTTATCAACAAACACATTAATAACTGATAAGCATCTTCTAAAGAGAAACCTACGCAACTCTGGGCACTGTGAACCGTTTCTTTTTGTTAATTTTCATTAAGTAATTGAGAGATTTTACTCTCAACATGAAAAATGCTATACAATTATATGTATATGTGCACATATACTTCAATATAAAGGGCATCACATTCAAAATTGGAAGTGATCGTTGTATGCTTACAAATATTTAGCTAAGTATGCAAGAGAGTAATTTTATGAAAACAATTGTATGTATACACGTACGTATATTTTCAAATAGATGAGCGAGAGCTGCTCCACTGGGCAGCCCGGCAATATACAAGTATACGTGTATGCGCAGAGAAAATTACTTATGATTAAACTTGCCATTCATTATATACACACTCACTATATGTATAGAAGAGAATTTATAAACTACATATACACATACCTATCATGTATATTTGTATAATTTTAAGATTATATTGAATTAAATTCACATAGCAAATGCTCACGCATATCAACAGAAACTGTTCTAAGCATAGCTCCGCCATTTAAATGAGCGAACAGTCTTGCGCTAACACACGTACGGAGAAGACATTAATAAACTGCAGCATTTGGCGTGAGTAGGACGAAGCAAATCATTTTAATCATTTTAAGTACATCCATAAATTATATTTGATTTGAAACAGATTAAAGTGAAGCAAAATAAAGCCAAAAATGATTGCGAAACATTTTCTATCGAAATTGCGTCCAATCTCGGAGTTATACGCAAGAGCAATTCATGCGAAAAAATTCGCTACCACATCTGAGCCAGCAAAATTCAATTGGCAAGATCCACTCAATTTAGAATCACAGCTGACCGAAGATGAGATAGCCATACGTGATGCATTCCGCAGTTACTGTGTAGACAATTTGATGCCGCGCATCACCACAGCCAATCGCAATGAGATATTTCACAAGGAAATTATGGAAGAGATGGGCAGTCTAGGTGCATTAGGTTGTACAATAAATGGTTATGGTTGTGCTGGTGTATCAAATGTGGCTTATGGCTTGTTAGCCAGAGAGATAGAGCGTGTAGATTCTGCTTATCGTTCTGCCTTGAGTGTGCAGAGTTCGTTGGCGATGGGCGCAATATATGATTACGGCTCCGCTGTGCAAAAAGAAACTTACCTTCCACGTATGGCGCAAGGCAAATTAATTGGTAAGTGACAAAAAAAAACTTGCTATACAATAACAAAAAAACTCATTGATATTCAATGTTGGGTTCATTCTTAAATCACTGAGTGATTGCTGAATACTTGTTGTTTACATCGATTAAAAAACAAATTTAAGTACGTAAATTATTACATTAGGGATGGTGCTGATATAAAAGGGCATGTAGGAAATTTCTAAAATAAATTGGATGTTGCTCTAATATTAACTCACCAAGGAAAGAAACGTCGTAACTTCCAAAAAAAAAAAAAAAAAAAACAATAAAAACTGATGTTGATAATAGATGTACTTATAAATATTTTTTTTGTTTTAATAATCTACGATAAAAGTTCATTAATCATATATCAGAAAATAGAATAATTATATTGAATATTTTAGGAGCTTTTGGTTTAACTGAACCGAATCACGGGAGCGACCCAGCAGGTATGGAGACTCGAGCCAAATATGACAGTAGCAGTAAATCGTATATACTAAATGGCTCCAAATCATGGATTACTAGCTCGCCGATTGCAGATGTTCTGATTGTGTGGGCAAAGTGTGAGGATGGAAAAGTACGAGGATTCATTGTGGACAGAGCACAATCGGATAAAGGTTTAGTTACGCCCAAAATTGAAGGAAAATTCTCTCTTCGCGCCTCTACGACTGGTATGATATTAATGGACGATTTACATGTGCCTGAAACGAACCTATTGCCAAAAGTTGAAGGATTTAGAGGTCCTTTCGGTTGCTTGAACAATGCACGTTATGGTATTGCATGGGGTGCATTGGGTGCAGCTGAGTCATGTTTGGAAATTGCACGCCAATATACGCTAGATCGACAACAATTCAAACGACCACTGGCGGCAAATCAATTAATACAGAAGAAGTTTGCTGACGCACAAGCCGAAATTGCATTGGGTCTGCAAGCATGTCTTCAAGTAGGACGGCTAAAAGAACAAAAACTGCACACCCCGGAAATGATTTCTCTTATCAAAAGAAATAACTCAGGAAAAGCATTGGATATAGCTCGTACTATGCGTGATGTTCTTGGCGCCAATGGCATATCAGATGAATATCATATTATAAGGCATTGCATGAATTTAGAAGCGGTGAATACCTACGAAGGCACACACGACATTCATGCACTTATTCTGGGACGTGCCATTACCGGAATAGCAGCGTTTGCTAATTAATATTAGCTTAGGAACTTGCTCTTAGGCCTTTACTGCCTAATGTATATATCTGCATTTATTTTTATACAAGTGTGTATTACTTTGCAAAAGGTAACTCTGAGTGCTACAATCAAATGTTTTTTTTTTGTGAAAAATAGAATAATTATTCAACTGTTTCTAATTAAACACATAATTTTAAATGCTAAAAATATTGTACTACTTACCTCAGCTTCATACTGCTCTGCTCGTCGTACAGCATGTCCCAACTCGGTATTAGTTTCAGATAAAAGTTTCTTCAATTTGGAATGTGAAAGCTTAATCTCACTAATATCTTTATTTCGGTCGGCTAGCTCTTGTTGTAATGCACGTACTTCGACATCATTCGCCTGCATAGGTCGGCCTTTACGATCGGAGCGTTCTTGATAGTCCCGCACTTCTGCTCGTAATTTTTTATTGTCACGTTCCAAAGCAAGCTTTTCTGTTTCGAGGCGTTCCCGTTTACCCCATTCTGAGGCGTTTTCTGCCTGTAGTCGCTCCAACTTATTAAAAAAAGGAAAATTGTTCGGTAATGGCAAAGTTTCTCTTTTTTAATTTACATACCTCAGTTCGAAGTTCTGATAAACGTCTTTCAAGATTTTCCCGCGATGCTGTCTCTTCTTGCAATGAATTATTAATAATACGCATTTCAGCACGATGTTGTTCTTGTAGTGTTAACAATTCACGAACTGCTTCCTAAAACCGTTAGATGATATACAAATATATTTCTTTTTAATTTCAATAAGTTTTTACCTGTTTTGCAAGACGCAGCTCTTCTTGGCGGTCCCTCACTTCTTGTATGTCCAAGCTCAATTTCTCGATCGTTTTATGTAAAATATTTTTCTCCCTGAGAGTAGCGTACAATAGTTGAAAAACATTTTTAAATCTCTAATACTAAAAATTAATGATTTTCGTCTACCATTTAAATGATCATTCGCTCAACCCAAAAAAAATTAATAACAAATAAAAATATAATTTTTAAACAGAAAAGTTTTTAATAATAAATGAATGTCTTGGTAAAGTTGTTTTTTTTTTTTTTTTTTTTTTTTGAAGAAACTTTTTAACACCCGTTTCCTCCAAAGCATATAAAAAGTAGTGTATAGTAGTTATATATAATATATATAAATATTACTTAAAACTTGTTCATTTAATTAACTTTCATACGAGGAACAGATTAGAAAGAATTACTTACTCCCTTTCTGCTTGAACCGTCTTCTGAGCTTCATCCAAACGCAATTGGAGCATAGAAATTTTTTGTAGCAAATACTCTTCATCGAAATCGTCTTTCGATAGTTGTTGAATCAAACGTTTTTCTTCAGCGGACACTTCATCTGTTAATAGTAACCGGACATTGGATATTTTGAATTTTTAGATTCTGTAGTATTTAATAAACATTTACCCATGTCAGGGGCATTTTTAGGTACCGCTCCCTTCAATATATATTCTTCGATATCCAAATCTTTCATATCATTGCAAATAGTCTTAGTAACCTAACATTGTTATTAAACATTTTCAATGTAAAAATTTAATATATTTCTTTTAAATATAAAAACATTTTGAAATTACCAATCCATCTTCGCTATTCACATTTTTTAAGCCATCGGAAGAAATATCTGGCGAACAGTTGGCATCTCGTCCATTTGCTTCAGCATCCTCAGACGCATCACATATTCTAACAAGAATATACATAAATACATATATATATTGAGTACATTTCAAAGAATTTAACCATTTGTGTGTTGCATACCCTGTTTTATGGAATTGATCTGCATGTTTCATCATTAAAGTATGCACCTTTTCCATTTCCTTTTTTAGTTGAGATATTTGCATTTCGAGATCATTTTTTTCTCGCTTGTAAGAATTTGCTTCTTTCATGGCTATATCAAGATTAGCGCGCAACTGTTTGGCTTCTTCCCTTGCTTTATTCCGTTCAGTTCGCACCTGGATGTAAAGCCGGGTGTAAATATCGATCAAACAAAAATTTGTTTATAAATCAACTAGTAACTCGTGACTATGGGAATTCGGTAAAAGGATATTAGCACGTACCTTACTCCATTTTTCGCGCCAATTAGCTGTACAATCTGACCACCATTTCATCGTCTTTTCCATTTGGGCAGCGCGAGCCCGTGCTTCGTCCAACTCCCGCTGTCTTTGGGCCTTAAAAAAATAGCATAAATGTTTAAAATCAAATGAACTCTTTTTTTAAATATTATTTATGCATATACTTCTCTTGCTTCCCATTCTGTAGCATCTCCGAATCTCGGAGTTTCCGTAGCTCCACCTCGACGTGGTATAGGCACCACGCTTTGAGACATTCTCTTAGATACCGGTCTTCAACCGGATAAAGAATATGTCCAATAAGCAAAATTCAAGCAATAAAGTTGGATTCAGCTGAAATAAGCAATAGTTAAACGGATAACAAAATTTTCACAACTATGTTTTTTTTATTTGTTTTCGTTTGATTTTCGTTATTTTCTTGTACACAATAATTTGACATTTACAAAGCTGTTTCTTATTTATTGACAATTTTTTTTTTGTGTGTTCCTCCTCACGCATTTAGCAAACGTTGCCAGATTTCATTTTGACATACCATAAACTACTGCGCTGTCTCAGTTAGAGGTTTACCCAAATTGATTGCAACTGTGAATTATGTGGCCAGAGTTTAATTCGAACAAAACTGACCCCCTCTTTTACGAGCTACGTGGTTTATAGACGCTTCCATAGCTTTCGAATTTTACCCCACTTACCTCAAGGCGTTACATATATCTCATGGTTTCCATCTTAGCTGATCATTAATGCATCTCTTACTCAAATATATGACGATTACATAATTAAAGCTAACCTGAATTTTGAGCTCAAGTCATGTCAAAGTCAAGTCGGATTAACCAGTGTGTGCCCAATTGGACTGATATGGTAACTCTAAATTGATATATATTGTTGCGAAAATGCGAGGCGAATGTCAGATGAAAGAGAGAAGCCGATAACTAGTACGTTCTAGAAACGATAAAACAAGAACCTTCCATAGCGAACAATTCGATGCTTCTACGCTTTCGTCTGCGAGCAGCCGACTGCTATATAAAGGCGACACTCAGCTGCAAGT